CCAACCCTCCAATGCCGCGATGTGCAACCTAAGCCCAGGCCAAGGATCTGCATGGCAGACGAGCATGGCCTCGACGTGTTTGCGAATCCCCTATTGTGAAATGAGGACGGTTTGTAAGTATGCAGGAGACCCGAAAAGGCCACGCAGGTAGTACAAATACTTGTTCAAATCCTCCCACGTTCACTGTTTCAGGTTTTTGCGAGAATTCAGGATGCTTTAAGCCAATGGGCCGTAAGACCTAAGAACAACCGAGAATTCAATCCCCTTGCTGATGGATCATGTGTCGCAGGGCGGGCACCGGTACGAGTAATACAGGAGCTGGGGGAGCAGCAGAGGGAGTTGGCGTCGTAGTAGGAGGTAGTGGCGGTGCTAGTAGTAGTAGTAGTAGTAGTAGTAGTAGTAGTAGTAGTAGTAGTAGTAGTAGTAGTAGGAGGAGAAGAGTCAAGCGGGCCTGCCAAGATCTAGACCGTAGCTACGTAGTAGCGGAATTGGAATTGATGGCTGAAGGCACCGGAATTCAGGGTTAAAGAGGTTTTGGGCATTGTAGTTTGAGGCTTGAGGCTGCAGAGCTTTTCGGCCCTACGGTACTTAGCACCCATCAATATGACGAGGACATCGTCACCTTCACGTATCACCCAGATGACGTGCACTTCGCCACCATCGACATGATTACCACATAGTCACCTTCATGCATCCCCTCTCATGACGTCCACTTCACTCCGCCACCATCTACATGACCACCACATCGCCACACTCATGCATGAGTAAAGAAATGTTGCTCGGATGAGGCGACGCATACGGTATGCGATGGGGAGCAACCTCTCGCGAAATGCATGCAGTCAGTATGGACCAAACGTAGGTGTCGCTTCCCAATCCCCTTGTGGGTGATACGATTGGAGGTAGTGCAGATCTTGCTTCCTTGAGGTGATACAGGGACTTGCTGTGGATTCCAAATACAGACTCTAACTCTCTTTTCGGCATCGGCATCGAAAATTCCTACCCCCAAAACCGACATCCTTATTGAAGAGCCCATGCTATGCATGCAAAACACAATTCGACTATTCAGCAGATGCTGCAAAGGAGCCGAGTCCGAGTCCATTGTCCTGGATACAAGTCAAGCGGGAATGGGTAGTGTTTACCGGTGGATCGGGAAACTACCATTTCGAAGTTCATGCCCTATGGTTGTGTGTCTCAGACCTGAAGCTACACTGAGGTGGCAGTTCGAACCTTAAACCTACAACCCGAAACCCAAAAACCCACATCTTAAATCCCAAACCTAAGGATTTAGCGCCTTTCAGCGACTCTAACAGCCCGACGCTCGGGTAAAGCCGCCTGCTTGTAGGGCTTAGGGCGAGGGTTTAGGGTGTAGGCTCAAGGTTTATCTGGTTTAGAGCTTATGGCTTAGGGGGCGTAAGGTTCAGTTTTTATACCAGGGTCTGCACTAGACTTGCTTCGGGCTGCAGCAGGCCTTGGCTCAGCGCGGCAGCAGCGAAAAATGGACGCTTGGTGAGGAGGCGCCGGGTTTAGGGTTTAGGGGAGGTGCCGATGTTTCTGGGTGTGGTTTCCCGAGGCATTTACCTCTTTTTCGATATAAATTCAGGCTCAGGGTTTCCGGCTTGTTCTCGTTCAAGTCGCTTCAAACGATTTAAAAAGCCTTATAGCGAATGCATTTCAGACTGACACATGAGGATGAAGATCCATGTTCTCCTGCTTGAGATCGCAAGCTGCGGAAAGTGCCCAGCTGGGAAGCTTGCATAGCTGGGAAGAAACCTCGAAAGGCCCCTACTTTTTGGACCTGCAGCAAATGACAAGCAATGAGGGCTTCCCTGGGCAGATGCTGGCTACGCATAAATCTGCGTAGTTCTCGAAAAAGGACTCTAATTTAGAAAACTACCCATGTGCCCCTAAGCCCTAAAAGGACACTAGTTTAGAAAACTACCCCTGTGCTTCATTGCACCACATATTCATGCGGCTTCTCTTTTTGTTGGACCCTCTTTAGTGTGTTGGCCCCCCCCCCCCCCCCCTGAACAGTTGAGGCGTGGATGGGAGCCTGATTACACGGCCCCGGGGGCTTATATCATTTCAATAGGGAGGAGTTTAGATAGGTTTAAAAGGGGCAGCGATGCCCGGTTATATTCTTTAAAGGCGCGCCACGTGGAATTTTCTTACGGCGCCCGGACGGTTTGACTTTAAAGGAGACCCCGCAAATAGTCAGGGGGTCCTGAATAATTTGGCCAAATTGACTTTAAAGGGGAGGCCCCTACTAAAGCGGGTCTAACATTATCGTGTTCTTGAAGGTCCTTATTGTGGTTCTACTACCATATCACTCCAAGGTCCTTTCGGTCCTTGTTATGACCATGCTACAGTACCACTCTAAGTGGGCCCTGTAATTATTCGACATGTCCTAGCTAGAGATGCAACCTTGACTCGCATCGGAGACCCAAGTTGTAGAGCAACTTCCCACTTTTTTGCCAGTCATCCGGAGCCCAAAGGGGCCCAAAACCCTAGATGAAAGCCCGGGGTGCCCTCGTGCAGAGCAGCATTCGTGAACTGCGGTCGTTTTGGCAGCAGCGCGGGGCCCTTGTTGTGTGCCCTAATCACCACGCACCACCATGGGGCAGGCTCACAGATCGGGTGCCGTGACCAATTCGCAACCTCTTGGCACCGGCATGGCCAGGACGGGGACGGAAGGAAACACTCCTCCGGTCTTGTGTGCTTGGAGAGCCTAATTTAGGATTTCGGGTCAGGGGCCAAGCGAAGGAGCACGGAAGGATCCTCTTTCATCTTCGTTTGCCACAGATGTCCAAGAGGGAGGAGCACCGATGTTCGGGAGCTATCTCACCCACGAAGGTAGTACATCCCGGGGCCCCATTCCAGGCTTCAGGCCTTTCAGGGCAGTTTGCAAACCCTTGCTCCTTGGGAAGTGAGGAAACAACTGCACCAGCAGCAGCCCTGGCAGCTCAGCCGAGGGTTCGCACGACAGGCTTGCTGTTGGCGCCTCGGATGATGGGTTTAAGATGGTGTAAGGGTTCAGGCCGTCGAGTTTTTGGGTTGGGAGCTTTAGTGGTTCGGGCCTCCTGTGGATGTCTGTAAGGTCCAGATTTCCAGTCCAAGATACATTCTCCGCGGATTCGCGGTTGCCGATTCGGATACACGTGGCCTCGTGAATGCAATGCGCTAGGATGTTATCGTGTCGTTTCCCGGATCGCGTGGTTTCCTGAATCACGATCTCGTATGGTTTCCTGAATCACGTGGCTTCCTGAACCGCAGTTTCCTGAACCGCGTGAAAACAGTTTCCTGAATCGCTTGGTTTCCTGAATCCTGGTTTCTGAATCGTGTAATTTATCGGTTTCCTGAACTGGTTTCCTGAATCGCGGCCAATTCTGAAGCGCATGGCACAGGGGGCGCTGGCGATCTTAGGTGGGGTGGGGGGGGGGGGAGGCCGGCTCGAAACACCTTTGGTCAAACGCAGCAGTCTACCCAACCTATGATCACAGAAGCGTGGCACTTCAGTGCAGTACAATGACCATACAGCTGGCTTTACCAGGTAGAATGCTGTGCCATGTGTGCACTGTATGCTTACCGACTCTGCCACTGAAGTGCAAGTCAAAACCAAGTAACCAAGCACAGCAGAGGGTTGCATCCCGGCACAGAAAACCCCAAGCTGTAAGCCCGAAAACTCCCAGCCCCTCAACCTTCCCCAAAACACAAAGCCTGCACGCGGCCGCAGAGGCCAGTGCGCTGCCGCCTGAGTCAGAACACCCCCCCAGGCTAAGTCTGAAGAGTTTCGCTTTGATCATGATTGCGTTTAAGGCCTGTTTGCGCAGCAGCTGTCCAGCAGCTGTGTAGGCTGCTTGTCTCCTCACCACAGGCTACACCCTAAACCCTACACCCCTAAACCCTAAACCCTAAGATCCACACGGGTGGACATGTTTTGGACTTATTTTTTCTTTTGCCTTTTTTTTGGCTGGTTCTCTATATCTGCATAGAGAAGCCTCTACGTTTCCCCTCATGACATCACGATGTGGGGTTCGTGTTTGTTTGGGCTTGATGCCCTCGGCTTGAAAGCAGGGCTTTGGTTTTCGGGAGGAAGCGGAGCCGAGCCCGCCGAGCCCTCTTGAATCATCGAACCTGGGCTCAGGGCTTCCGCTGAGGTCTCGGAAGCTTGGTGCAGCCTATATCAGCCTATGGAGGGTCCGGGGTTAAGGTATGCAATAGAGGATCTTGGGCATGCGGCGCTTGTGACTTGACAAGCTCCCCTCGGCACATCAGGCGGAGCTTCTCGCCGGCAGTAGCAACCCTGAATCCCTGAAAGCCATGACAAAGAATCAGTCATGGTTCAGACTTGTCTGGAGCCCTCAGCCCTAAAGGGCTCTAAACCTCAAGCCTCAAACCCCGACTCCCAGAACTACCCTCAACACTGAGATCCCTAGATGCGGCCATCTCTTGCTTGTGGCGAAGCACGGCACCGGTAGGGCGGATCCTACCTGTCCACCGGGGCTTGGCTTAGAAGATGTAGAACTTCCAGCCTGATGCCCCCGTTGCAGGCGCTTTCTAGATATCCGGGGGCCTGAACCTTCCGGGGCCCCTGCCTCTAGGGTTTAGGGTGCTCCCTCGCCCGAAGTTGCATGTGACACTCCAGCCTCTTGTTGAGGTCCACCTTCCAGGCGCTGTCGGGCAGGCCAGCAATCCACACCTGCAATGCTTTCGGCCTTCCTGCCCGCTTTGCACTCACTTTTGGGCTGCACTGAAGCTGTAGCGGGTGGGGAGCCTCAACCCTAAACCCGAACCCAAGGCGCCGTGTTGTCATTGCTTAAGGAGGCCAGTAGCCGTGGCCATGCCAAAGCTCTTCGTCATGCGTCTCCTGAGCCACGGCAATCATCCTGGGCCTGGACTGCTACATCGCCAACACCACCACTACGACAACTCCCGCGAGAGTATTTGCTACGGCAGTTGTCAGCGCCTTGCGCACCTTGCTGCAAGTCTTGCTCTGGACAGCATCACGCCTCACAGGCCAAAGGGCTTTTTTTTTGTGCTGGACTCCCCAGCGGCCCTTTTGGTATCATGTCGTCCCATGACAAGGTTGGCTTGCAAAATTGTGAAACGCTGATATGCTTGGAGATTGGTTAGTTTGCATCAGACCACGTACCAAGTCGCTAGCTGCCCGCTTGCCTGCGCAGAAGCTCTGTTTGCCGCAGTCCTTTCTTCGATGCTCTTCAGGGCCTCCGACCAGGTCATGGGGCCATGAGCTGCTCGAAACCTTCGGCCTCAAACCATCCCCCACCCACATTTCAGAGTTGGGCTTCAGGGCTTTTACGGCAAAGCAGGTGGACACGCCGAAAAAAAAGCAGACTCCTGTCTGGTGGATGGTCCGGGCCTTTTCACCCTCAGCACCGAATTCATAGGCGCCACGCAGGTCGGTCAGGGCCATAAAGAAGGCGATCTTGGTGACGGTGCTGTTTGTCTCCAGCGCTCGTGCAAGTGCCTGTAGGGCAAGGGATCACACACCAGAATGGAGACTCCTGTCTGGCTGCACAGGGCCTGTGCACCCTCGGCGCCAACCGTATACCAATCAAGGGTGACCGTGGTGACAGCGCTGTTCTTGCCCAGGGCTCTTGCGAGTGCCTGCAGAGCAAGGGACCACACGCCACGATGAAAACTCCTGTCTGGCTGCACCAGGCCTGCCCGCCGTCAACACCGATCGTATTGAAACTAAGGTCGATTGTGGTGACGGTGCTATTCTTCTCAAGCGCTCTCGCTATTGCCTGTCGGGCAAGGGACCACACGCTTGAATGGAGACTCTGCTGCACCGGGCCTGCACACCGTCAACACCGATCTGATTGCCAGAAAAGCTGATCGTGGTGATGGTGCTGTTCTGCTCAAGCGCTCTTGCTAGTGCCTGCAAACACGAGATCACACTACGAAAACATATTCTGTGAACTCAGGTTGTTGGGGGTAACCCGCTAGTATCACCAGTCATTTTTCCGTATGCTTCTTTTTCAAGGGTGTGTGTTTTGGGTTAAGGGCTTACGCGGGCTCCAGGAGTCTTAAAGAGCCAGAGCCCGGAGAATCCAGGAAGCTAAGCCCGGCCAGTTCCATGTAGAGCCGTATTGAGGCCCCAAACAAATCTCATGATAGGTAGCCCACGGCCAGCCCGACTCACTTTACCAAATTTGTTGCGTCGCCCTCTATAATACACAGGCTCGACAAGGGGGGGGGGGTCCTTAGCAAGGCAGGAAAGCTTCAGGCCTTAAGGTCCCAAAGGCTGAGGGACTTGGGCGAGGCGGATGGTTCCCCTTCCCCCCAAATTTTTTTAGGGGGGCGGGGTCCCACGCCATGTTTTTATAGGGTCCAAATTTGTTGGCGGGGGGGTTCCCTCATTAAAGACAGTGCAACATTAGAATGGAGACTCCTGTCTGGCTTCACCGGGCCTGTGCACCTTCATCACCGATCTGATTGCCACCAAGGTCGATCGTGGTCATGGTGCTATTCTTCTCAAGAGCTCTCGCGAGTGCCTGCATGCAAAGGGATCACACGCCAGAAAAGAGACTCCTGTCTGGCTGCACTGGGCCTGCGCACCCTCATGACCGATCGTATTGAAAGCGAGGTCGATCTTCGTGACAGTGCTATTCGTCTCCAGCGCTCTTGCGAGTGCCTGCGGGGCAAGGGATCACACGCCGCAATGGGAAACTCCTGTCGGCTGCACCGGGCCTGCGCACCGTCATCACCGATCTTGTTGCCATTAAGGAGGATCGTGGTGACGGTGCTATTCGTCTCCAGCGCTCTTGCTAGTGCCTACAGGGTACAAGATCACACGCTAGATGGAGACTTCTGTGTGGCTGGACCGGGCCTGCGCACCGTCAACACCGATCTGATTGCCAGAAAGGCTGATCGTGGTAATGCTGTCATTCTTCTCAAGAGATCTTGCTAGTGCCTGCAGGGCAAGGGATCACACGCTAGAATGGAGACCCCTGTCTGGCGGCAACGGTCCTATGCACCCCCCCTCGGCACCGAGCAACGGTCCCTTGATTCATGCCCTGCATTGTGAGGGTATGCAGTTCCTCAACTCTGGCGTTCAGTTTTGATGTGTCGGCATTGCTGCAGTTCCTCAACATCGAGAAGTGCCCTTCAGGAGTTGAAGCGTTCCACGAGGTTGTGTCCTATTTGGTTGCCGTATTTCCCGAATCTCACCACAACAAGATTCGTTCGTTCAGAGTCATGGTGCAGTTCAGTTCAGGCTCCGGAAGGTTTAGGGGTTTTATAGAGGAGCCCTCTATGACTTGAACGGCTTAAACGCCTACACACCTGAACCCTAAACTTTACCCCCCCCCCCCCCCCCCCCCCCGAAACCATCATTCTCTGAGGCAAACTAAGACACGGCAGGCCTCGGCCACTGCTACCTTCGAACTCTCTGCGGGCTCCTGGCAGTCTGGGGCTTCTTGTCGCATCCTCTTAAAGACCCTGAAATGGATGCTGCAAATGCAAATACCTTCCATATACAATCCGCATAAGGGAATCTCTGCTTAAGCGGAAATCTTCGAGGACAAGCTTGCGCAACTTCACGCAGCATGCGCCTGCTTGTGCCCCTCTGAGGAGCATCGCTGCTTCTGGGTGAGATACTGTGAGATTCCCGTGCCGCATGGCGCACAACAGCCCATGGCCTCAATAGTTCTACTATGTTCTACTCTGAATTCCAGGTTGGGGAGGCCGTGCAACTGAGCGGCCTGAGGGGCCTGTGCCGCAATGGGAATTTCACTACTTGAATGCAGGGTGGGATCGACAATTGTCTTGGAAGCCAGTCTTTTGATGTGTCACACCATATATCCGCGAGATCTTGTCAAGAGGAACAATTGACGGTTCATAGGCCTGCAATAAGAACGGTTGCAAAGTCATGCTAATTTGTACACACTGACAAGCTGAAGCAAACATGTGCGGGGCTTCTCCTTGGGCATCGCATTGCCAACACACGCAACTCCCACGCAAATTGCGCCACCGTACACTCAGGATAGCACTCTGTCAGGGCAGAGAGTGCTCAATCAGGGTTGAGGGTAGACTCTTCGCAGCTTGTGCTGCACGAAGCAGAAGCCATTCCAAAAACAACGACGACCTCGCTTTGAGGCTCCCCAATGCACCCGTCGGCATGCTGTAAACTGTAAACCCTATAAACCCTCTCGGCCCTAAACCCTCCCTATAGACTCCAATCCGAGCACTCCGACGCCCCAAGCTTGAAATTCACAGCCAAACCCCTCGCAATCCAAAACAATCAAACAATCCCGAATCTTGCCTCAAGCGCCCGAGTCTTGCTTGAATATCGATATATACAGAAGCCTTGCCATGCCCGCAGAAGTCTGACCATGGTGCGGCAAGTTGAGTCAAACAAAGACAGTCAGGTTCATCCCGCAAGCCCCAAACCTGCGTCTCAGTCAAAGCCCTGTTTTGGCTGAGCAGAATGTGACCAGTGGCAGAGAGGCCTTCTTCGGCACCCGCCTTGTTGCTGGGATCACTACCTGCCCTGCAGCACTTGTCGGAGCCATTACAATAGCAGTGCTAGTGGTGGCGGTAGCGGTAGTGGTGCTGGTGGTGGTAGTCGTAGTAGTCGTAGTAATCGGTAGCAGTAGCAGAAGCAGTAGCGTAGTATTAGTAGTAGAAGAAGAACCCATCGTTACATCGTATCCTACTGCACGCCAGACCATAGGCTTTCTGCAACATTCAAAGTCAGAGCTGCAAGAATGCCCAGATATTTCTGGGAGCAACTAGTTGCGGTCCATGTATGTCACGGACGCCCAATTCTCCAGCAGATGCCGGTTGGAATTGGGAAGCAGGCTCTTGATTACGGGCCAGAACATGCCTACACATGGGTTTAGGGTTTAGGTATGAAGCTCGAAATGCAAGCCTTGCAGGCTTTGACAGCGTCGAACCTTCCGCTTCCCAAGCCCTTGGTGCAGCATTGCACCTTCAGCCCACGCAAGCCTCATCCAAGGTTGCAGGGCGTAGTTCCCAAAGACGTACCGCGAGAGCGCTGGACGATAGTATACCCTCTGAATCAAATATACAAGCAATCTGCTACAGTACACTTACCTTTCGAAGGTCAAATTGCGCCCATTTGCACTAGACAACATAATGTCGCAACACAGTTTTGTGGGACTATGTAGATGCCTGCTCTTGATGACCCATGACCGGTAGGAAAGCCAAGAAGACCTAGACCCCCCAAAGCATCCAACGAAAGCACCCCCGACGGTTCAAACCAGCCCAGCCTGGCTAGCACACACCCTGCACCTGCACGATTGTTGAGATTAAGCCGATTAAGGTCCATTTATACTTTCTGGACTTGCGGTTAAGGTTGAAGTCAGGAGATCCGAGAGCTCTCTCAAGCGTCTCGCTTCATGTTCCACCCCTCGTCTGCGGGCACAAAGGCCCGTCTTCAAACTTCATGCACATGGGAAACAGACATCCGAACAGGCGCTAGCCTTGACAATCTTGCTTCCGAAAGCGGCTCGCGATGACGACATGAAAGCAAGCGATTGTGGGAGAAAAACCTTCTTCTTCGAAATCCACTTGCAGCGGTTGCTGGTGGCTTCGTCTCTTGGGTGGTCTGGGGGTTGCTGAGGTCTCCCCCACTGCGCGCGTCAGCTTACTTTAAGGCTTCACCTTGCTTCGCAAACAACAACACAAAACGCAGAGGTACGCTGTTTCAGGACACTTGAAGCCTCTTCGTCAATGTGTGTGTGTGTGTGTGTGTGTCTGCACAGGGGCGTCTTTGCTTCGTTTTGTTGTTGGCAAAAAGGTCGAGAGTATAGTAAGCTGAAGTTCGCAGTCTTGGAGACCACCCAAGAGACGAAGCCACCAGCAACCACTGCTTGTGGATTTCGAAAAATATTTAATGCAACGCTTTTCCTAAGCTAGTCAGTGCAGTTGAACAATAGGTCTGACCACCACCTGGAACACACCTCAGGCTTAGGTATCGCGACTTGCAGGATTCAAGGCATTTCTATCATGATCTTGGGAAGGTTCTGCCTTGCTATGTGGGCAAACTGTGGGGGCTTCACGCCCCAAAACGATCGAAGCCGGAGATGCCGACGACACCGACTATCCGCACGCAACCATTTGAATTTGCACATCTTCACCGGATGTCTGTTGCCCAGCCAGGCTCAATAGGCCTTGCCCCACGTGTCGAGTTGCAAGATGTAGCCTGAAACAGCTTAGGGCTTCAAGCTTAGGGTCTCGGGTTTAGGGTGCTGCCACCGCCTCGGTAGCTGCTCCTGCTGCTTCTGTGACAAGGAATCAGGGGCTTCTTCGGGCTGCAACAACTACGACACCGAGGGCCCCACACGGAATGCTAAGCCCCGAAACATCCGCATCGCCCCGACCCCACAGCCTAAGCTCTCCGAGGCAAAAGCCCCCCCACCTTCGAAATTGGAGCCCTGAAGGCTGCAGATTGCGTTCTGCTGGTCCTTCCCGCGGGAATTGGGAGGTTTCAGGGGGCCTGGCGTCAAGGATGTCAAGGATGGTCAAGGTTCGAGGGTCTTAGCTTCATTCGGTTTAACAGCAGGGCGCTTGTTGAGGCTCTGGGGTGGGAGAGGATTTGGGCGGTCTGTGTTGGGCATGCAGAGCTTGTGACTTGCCTGGCTCCTCGGCAAATCAGGCCGAGCTTCCTGTGTCGCAAAAAGCCCTTTCCATCCCTTTCCCAAGAATCGGTCGTGGTTCAGAAATGTCCCTGAGCCCTATAAGCCTCAAGCCTCAAACCCCGACTCCCAGATTCTACCCTGAACCCTGAAACCCCCAAATAAGCCGCCATCTCCTGCTTGTTGCGAAACACCGCGCCGGCGGTCCCAGACTTTAGAACTTCCGCGTACAGGCATTGACCCGCTTGCGACCTGCTGGCTGCTTTCGGGGGGATTCTGGAGCTTAGGGTTGTCAGCAGGGGCTTGGCTAACGAAGATGGAGAACTTCCTGCTTAATGCCCCAAAGACCCTCAACCCTGTTCTTATCTTGGATACTTGGCAGGTGTTTTCCAGATCTCGGAGAAACCGTCTGAAAACTCCAGGGTGCGTGCCTCTAGGGTTTAGGGCTTTCGGCTGCGCCCTCGCCCTGCTGCGAAGCTGCATGTGGGTCTTCAGCCTCTTGTTGAGGTCCACATTCCAGGCGCTGCCAGGCAGGCCCGCAATCCACACCTGCAATGCTTTCGTGGAGCTGTAGCGAGTGGGGACCCTCGACCCTAAACCCTAACCCAATGCGCCTTGTTGTCATTGGGAAAGGCCCTTAGGCCTGTAGCCGTGGCCTTGCCCCAGCTCTTCCCCATGCCTTTCCTTAGCCACTTACGGCAATCATCTTAGGGCTGCTAACTACTGCTGCTACTCCTCCTCCTCCTCCTCCTACTGCAACTGTTCATACTATTGCTCGGGAAAACCTCTGTACGACAATGCAGTTGGGGGGGAAACCGTGTCCCTTGGAGCCCGTGGACAAAAACCCTGCGGCTCTACTAAGATACCACTGCACCAGGTTAAAAAGTCAAACCCTACTTCTCCAAGACCGGCTTCGCTGGGTATGGTGATGGGGCAAAGTGCCCGCCCTTGCCCAGAGGCTCCCAGCTGGGTTGGAAGCCTCCGCCAACAACAGCAACAGCGGCAGTACTTGTCGCGTTTGGCAGGGTGCTTCCAGCGGGCAGCAAGGGGTGGGTGGGGGGGGGGTAACAGTTCCTGACCAACAATCTTCTGTTGCATCCGAACAGCCTCGCGCTTCTTTTTTTGGAACAGACGACAGCCCCACTCTGTATAGTGAAACACGTATCCGCGTGTGGCATACTCACTGTGCGCCAGCACTTGAGTGTGTAGGGCATATTATAGAGTTGAGCATCGAGGGTTTTACGGTTTAGGGCTTCGAAGTTCGACTTTTTCGCGAGCCGCGCAAAACAGCTGTCCACCTCAACCCTATTCCTACACCCTTCGGCAATCAAGGACCAACCCCTTAATCTGGTATCGGCTGGTTTGGGATGCTGATTTTGGGGTTGTGGGGGTCCAGGCTTCGGCATCCGGAATGACTTCCTGCTACCTCAACCTTGGGATGTTTGATGGTTGCGCTAGAGGTTGTGGTGGTAGCGGTTGTAGAAGCAGGGAAATATGCTGGGTGCGGATTTGGGAACCTTGATTCAAGGTTTGGGGGGTTCCAGTTGAATAGCGACCCAACCCTCAGAACCAGCCTGATCCCCCATCCATCAAGCTACGTGCCCACCAACTTCCACCACCACCATCACGACGACGATGACAACTACGACGTTGAGTACGTCTACTTGCTAACCCTAAACCCTAAAGCCGAAACCCTAAAGCCGAAGAGAGCTCAGAAGCATCGCGGCCTCCGTCCCATTTGCCATAGCCCTGGGCCACGCGCGGGCTTGGGACAGCGCTAACACGGAACCCTAAACAGGGGTTGCCGCCAAGGTGCCTCGAAGCTGGCCCAGTCATTGGCATGGCCGTGGCCGTCGCACTCGTGGCCCCCATGACTGTGGCCTGTGGCAGAGGATTAGGGGCTTAGAGGTTTAGGGCTTTAAAAGGGGTTTCGGGTCCATGTAGGGGGCTGAGGGGTTTTGGGCTTCGGTTGTTTTCTACTTCTTCGGGTTGCCGATGTGTGAATGTTATCCTGAACCTTGAACGGGCCTTGGCCTTGGCCCTCGAGCCTACTGAGGAGCTGTATTTAGGTTCAGGATGGTTTCGTTCTCGGCATCATTCGGCATCCATGTCGACGAAGTTTGCCGATAGCTTCCCACGAATAGGGTGGTCAAACACATCAGGAGACCATAATTCTCTAATTCTCGCAAAGCCTGCAAAGCGCCCACTTGGCCTCCCCAAGCGCCATGCCCTTGCCCGCGTCCGCCATGGCCGAAGAAATCCTCTCAAGGGTGAAGTTCTAGGACGAAACCTTGAAGCTTAATGCCTCTAGTCCCGAAATTAAGAACGAAACACCTTGACTACCCTATACCCAAATCCCTACCCCTGCGCCCTCCGGTTTAGTGCTTTATGTGTCCGGAGCGTTCGCAGGCTGTAGCAAGCTTGGCCTTTGGGCTTAGGGTGCTGAACGCCCGAATCCCCTCAAGCCTCAACTCGAAACCCTCTCAACCGTAAAACCCAATGCCCGAGCCCGGAAACCATTTTGCTGTGATTGGACTGCTTCGTGCCCAACCCGCCATGATGCTCCTGATGCCTGCTTTTGCGGTTTCGGTTTGGGCTCCAAACCGGCCCGTGCTGCTAGGCCGATAAGAAGCGAAAGTAGGAGCAGCGGTAGTAGTAAGTAGCTGTAGTCGTATAGCATGTAGTACTGTACCAGGCAAACACCCGCTCCCGATCACCTGCTACAATCCAGCCAATAGCAGCAGCAGCAGCAGCAGCAGCAGCAGCAGCAGCAGCAGCAGCAGCAGCAGCAGCACTTGAACAGAATCTGGGGTGTAGGGATTCATGTACTGCTGCTTCCACGGTCTAACTACGTTCTAGCAGGTGGAGGCTTCTGGCTTTGCAAAGCTCCATGGTTTGCTGCCGGAAGTCCTCACCGTGGCTGTGGCCGTCACCTTCAGCTTCGGGTCTTAAGGGTTGCCCGCAGACTGCAGGTCCAATGGCCACTGCTTTAGGGCTGTAGGGGCAATAGCTGCTGCTTCTCTTCAATCTGCAGGTTAGATGCGTAAACTTTGTGGTGAAAATTGGGCATGCTACTCTGGAAGAAGTTTTTTTGTGTGCTCTAGAGCCTGAATCAGTGTGGTATCGGGGCTCTTGGCGGCTGTACTGTAGTCGTAAAGCCTCGTGTGTAGAGAAGCCAGCAACATCATCACGGCTGACATGCATTAACACGCGAAGCCTGAAGCCCAAAGCCACTCTCGGGTGTTACGCTCGCAAAACCACTGGCCAAAGGCAAGGTGACCAGACTTGACGGGATCTTTGCACAACCTTTCCAAAACCTGTGAGAGTACTTGAAGCTCTTGCACTTCCAGCGGCACTAGCTGGAACAGGCATACAAACAGGCGCTGAAAGAAAACTTGGGTAGTCTAGTTAGTGAAGTGATCCTAAATCCTAAATCCTATGCCATATACAGTGGTCTCGTATACTAGTCACTCTAAAGGCTGCAGTAGAATAATGAACTATGTGACTATGTGATGCTAGAACCGTACGAACTCTTTATATCTTGTACTGACACTATGCAGTATAGTATACTACATTCGAGTATATAGTATAGACGACTGTATGGCTCCTAAACTATTAAAGGTCTTCTCGGCTTCGGGGTCGCATTCTCCATGATCCCCATGGCCGCCGTGACTGCCATGACCACCATGACCACCATGGCCGCCGTGGCCGTCGCAGTCGCCGTGGGCTGCGTGGCCGTGGCCGTCGCACTCACCATGGGCCCCCTCAGAGGTTCAGCAACTCAAAGCATCAGACACGCTTGGGGCGGCGATTGCGCCCACAAAAACAACTATATAATGTAAATTCATGTAGTCTGCTGGCAGTATAGTGTGCTATATTGCATTGACGTCTATAGATACGCCCCTACGTATAAGGAAAGCAAAGAAGCGCAAAGTTCTATGCTGGTGAAAATCAAAGGGCATGGCTGTGCCCGTGCGAGTGACCCGAGCGCTGGTGCCTCGGATGTAGGGCTGTCCGAAATCATCGCTTTTTTGTTGATACGCATCACAAGGGGGGTACTTGGGGACCTATGCTAAGCGCCCTTCCCATCGGAAACGCCCATACAGAATGCTGACAACATCAAACTCGAACCACCCAAGATCCAAACCTCACACCACTTTTTTGACAGCTTGAAGCCCTGTCATCGCAAGAAAAAAGGGCCTGGGATGCTACATCTCCAAACTCAAGGCCGCGGATCCCGTGGCTCCCATGGTCATGGCCGCAGGATTCCCAGGAGTTGTCCCATCCAGCGTAGCCCTGTGCCACGGGGACCCCTGAAGCTGTTCTTGTGTTCGTGATGGTGCGTTCTTGCTTCGTTTGATTGAACGCAGGCGCAGGGCCTAATTTTCTTACGACCTCCCACACCCTGGCCTAAACCTAAACCCACCCTTAACCCTTTTGCACATAGATCCGCCTCAATCCACAAACCACAAACCCCTTAAACCCGCTCCTGCATCAGGGCCCACAGGGCGCCTTCAAGCTCCGAGTACCTGGCTTCATCAGGATTTTTCAGGGCTCAGAGCCTCAGGGTTTATAGGGCTTGGTTTCAATGAGCGTTTTTAGAATGTCAGGGCTTGGAAGCTTGAGGTTCGTCAGGGTGTTTTAACACCCATTACCGAAGCACAGGAATGCAGGCCTTTTCTGGGGTTGAGGGCACAACTGATGGCTTCAGGCAAGAGATGCTGCACTCTTTGCCGAAGAACTTGAGCCCGAAACTAGCATGTGCAGCATACCCTACTCTTCTCTAAGCATTTTCGTGTGTCCTAGGCTGCGCGGTCTCAAGGAACAGTGGGGCTGCATACGCTCTTCGAAACCCTGAACCCTGACTGAATCATCTGGCTTAAAAGGTCAGCCTGGACATCAGATCCACGTGGGTCTTGGCAGCGCAATGAGGCGCAGCAATGGCGAACGTCTTGGGCCGCAAATGGCCGCTGCAGGGCCAAGGTAGTCAACTTTTCTCGCATGTGTGGTGGGGTGTCTGTTTCGCAATCCCCAAAAGTGTGTAAACCGAAGGAACGTTGCTGGCAACGATTGGGGTTCGTGCGAATAAAGAACCGATGATGCATCTCTAGAATCTGCAACATTGATCCAGGTGATGTCTTCCCTTCGAACCACCAAGTTTTGGTGGATTTATGTGTTGATTTTTTCACTTTCCATTTGTATAGAAATCGGGTTTCCCTTCGTTTTGCGAAACGAAGCCGGGTTCCTACGTGTCCATGAGCTTTGGCATGAGGCAACGACCTAAGGGGGCCGTAAGCTGGAAGCCTCAACTCCTGAAGGACCCTTTCTTTGTGTCACCCTCCACGGCGTCGGCAGTGCAAGTGAAAAGTGAAGACTGCTTCATGGGAAGAGCGCGTGCAGTGCAAGGGCACCACGGGACTGTGCCGTTTCAAAGACTTGAACACAACATGCTTCCTCGTGAGGTTCCCAAATGCATGATACATGGAACAGTGTGGAGCATGTTTCGTCTTTTTCCCTTCATGCGATGAAAGGGAAATAACTCCAGACTTCAGTTGATGGCCCCCCACCCTGCCCCACCATACTTACTTGCCGTACCCGCCGTGCTCCTTGCATTGGTGCATTGGTTGGGTTTCTCTAAATCTATTCTCACTGCGACCTCGGTTTGAAGGTGACTTGAGGATCTGTGGCACGACTTCCTTGAAGCTTTTTTGAGACGCTCGTCCGTGCGGCCAGTTGATACAAAATTGGCGCTGCGCCCGTTGAATAACTCAAACACCACCCCTCGAAAGGTTCAAAATGCCCTTGCAGGTTGCAAAGGGTACAACGAAACGGCGATTCCATCTACAGTGGTGCATGCAAAAACAGCCCCGGGGCCCTCAAAGATCTGCACAATAGGGGTCTGCCAGCTTTATGACAACTCCGGGGCAAGTTAAAGAAGTTCAGGGCTCAATTAAAAAAAAGGCCCCCTAGCTCCCTTTCCCTGCGGTCGTGCGACGCCTGACGAAGCGCTCATCGTCAAAAGGCCCCCAGACATTGGTCTTGCGCTTGTCCTGGATCTCCAAGCGGTAGGGATTTCCCTCATCCCAGAGCTTGATGACCTTGGCAGGCGCCCAGCCATTGGGGCCCCTGGCCTCAACCATCTCACCGATGTTGAAGCGGAGCTCCTCCTCGGCAGCACAAGCCAGGAACTCTTCCTTCAGCCGCTGGCCATGCTTCTGCTTGATGTGCTTCCCGATGAAGACGAAGCGGCACTCGCGCGACTCCCCGGGCGCCCACTTGCCCTCCTTGGATGAGGTGAAGCCACCGCTGAAGAGCATGTGGACGCCCTGGAACACGTACTTCTGATCACATCCCTTCACTGCTAGCACGCCCTTGTATCGGAAGAGGTCCGTGCCCATCTCACGGAGGAGGACACCGATCCACTGTTCCAAGAAGTTCCTACTATTTGCTTAAGAACCATCAGAGAATAACAAAAAGGCAAGAAAATCCCTATATTGCCCTTATAAGGAAGAATCTTCTTAAGCAATGCCTAGGTTCACATTCAACTCCAGGCCAGGGACGGACCACGCCACGCTGGAGATGGAGTCATCATGCACGTGATCATCGGGGCTTGCCTTCAAGAACTCCGGGTCCATCGTCAACACCTAGTAGCATGGTCCAGAAAAAGCCCTCTGAAACATTTTCCCTAAATCGTAGCCCTTCATAAAAAACCCCACTTCGACAAAAAAGCTAATATGTTTAAAAATGCCCTTGAGCAAGGGATAGCAAGGGCCTACCGAGATACTCGGTCCAAGTCAAAGGCATTCAGCATCAGCAGCTGCTTGGGCTCCACTTTGGAGAACTCGGCTCGGATGATGGGGGCCCCTGCGTTGATGTTTCGGATCCTCGCCTCCAGCTTCCTGAGCGCCCCCTCCTTGTCTTTTGCCTCAATGACCGAGCTCCCCGGAACCGGCTGAGGAGCTTCCACATCTTGGCACTGCTGCCTCTCACCCACCTCGGTCTTTGCAGTTCCTCCCACCAAGTCGCACTTGTTCAGGATGATGCGGTCGGCAAAGGCCAGCTGCTCCACCGACTCGTTCTCCGCGCCCTCCGGCTTCTCCTCATCCAGGTGTTGCTCGATGTGGGCAGCATCCACCATGGTGACGATGCCATCCAAGCGGTACTTGGCCTGGATCTCCTCATCCACGAAGAAGGTCTGTGCCACCGGAGCCGGATCCGCCATGCCGGTGGTTTCGATGAGCACCGCATCGAACTTCTTCACTTTCCCGTGCATGCGCTTCAGGGCGCTCACCAGGTCGCTGCGCACCGTGCAACAAATGCAGCCGTTCATCACCTCAATGACCTGCAGCTGTGTTTCTAAAACATAGGACATTTTTTCCCTCAAAAAAACCCTCGTTGCAAAGGACGCACCGACCAACACATGCACATTCTGGGTCTTACGGTCTTTCTATGCTTGACCCCTTCTTTGAGCCACACCTCCTCTTCTGAGCTGGTCTTGTTGGCAATGAGCTTCTCGTCCACGCCCACCTCCCCGAACTCATTCTCAATGATCGCGAAGCGGAGGCCGTGGCTGGGATCAGCGAGGATGTGGTTTAAGAGCGTGGTCTTTCCAGATCCCAGGAATCCAGTGAGGACGGTCACCGGCACCCGCGAGTCCGACATGGCGAGAAAGAGACACGCGGAAGTGCCACGGAACTGGATCTGCAAGCGTGTCGATAAAATGGCACTCCTTCTCAAGTATTCTAAATTATGTTTTTTGCAATATATATATATATATATATAAAAGCCTTTCTTGTCAGTTTAGGGCGCTGTGTCAAACGGCTCGAGCAAGGCTCTGATTGGTGTCAAATTGGTCTCCCAAACTGGACATTGCATACTATTCGATTGTCTACTATTCTGATTATTACCAGTATGGGAATTAGTATTAGCAACCGCTCTCATCCTGGATTCGCTTTTCAGAAACCGGGACTGTAACAACACATGTTCTCCAGAGCATATGAACCAGTTTACATACAGGTCAAGGCATGTGCCTTGCGCCGAGTCGTGGAACGTGTACGTGTTGTGGACAGGACCATATAAGACGGTCTTGGCTGGGCAAATCGATGTGTCAAAATGCAACGAAACCAAATGGATATTCAACTTGATGTCTCCTGTTCCGGTATTGCGCCTTGAGACTTGGACCCACCAATGTTCCACTGTCACCAAGAACTCGGATATGATCAACCTTGTTGCTGAAGGACACTCGTCATCTTTGTGTCATCCAGAGTGTTGTGTTGAGGACGTGCCACCGTGCGACGTCTTCGTTGTTGCTTTGGAATTGGAGCTTGGTCGTTGTTCGCAACTTCTTTTTGTCGACTTTTTGAGTTTGACAGGCTCTCCCTCTCTGAACATGCCGCGAAACTTCTGGGACTTCATGACGTGTCACTGCTGGGAGATGCTGGGAGATGCTGGGAGGTTGAGCCACAGCTGAGAGGTTTGCCCTGATTCCAGATTCACATCAGTACACCTAGATGCACTCAGACTTCCGCTGCGTCTGCATCAAAGTGACTGGACAAAAGACATGAAGTTCCTGAACCCCCTTTTCTTGCGCGAGCCGTTTTTGGCTACCTGAAAGCAGTCCCAAAAGCTGCACAATATTGAACGGGGTTCTTTCTTGCTGACACCCTTTCGGGCATCTCAGAACCAAGCAATCTTGTTGTTAGAGGTTCTAGGGTTGTAGGGTATCACTGGGTACAGGCTTGACATGACACGTGTCGGCTTGCACTTCAACTCCAAATCCTTGCATGGACATCCTGTGGCAACCTCTGCCCTCAGCAGCACACGAATTGTCCCTCTGCCCTTATGCTTCTCACCAAACTCTCGCTCAAAAGCCCTTTCGACTCACCCAAACCAACACAAAAGCCCTACTTGACGCAAACCTACAAAAGGAGGCCCTGGCAAGGCTTTGCGGTTTAGGGTTTAGGGTTTAGGGTTTAGGGGGGCTCGGGGTGGTTGCTTTGTGAGTTGGCATGCGCGTGAGCATTGGCCCTGCTGACTGGCGCGTTCCCTACCACAGATTTTCAGCGCAGGCGAAGATGAGAAGACCACAAGTTTAGGGTTTCGGGTTTAGTGTTTTAGTTATTTTCGAGTTTAGGGGGGTTCCCAGCTTCTTGTCAAAGTGTCCAAACATCATGAAGGAGAGCCCAGCAAACGAGCAACAAGGAAGCAGCTGCAACCCCGGAATTCTGCAGCCCCAAACCCTGCTGGTGGGCAAGAGCAGCGGGCTAAAGAGAACGAAAGCAAAATCAAACTAAACCCTGAACCCCTCAACTGCCGAACCCCTAAACCGCCAAACCCCGAAACCGCCAAACACCTAAACCCTAAACGCGACTGATGTTGCTGATGATGTATGGCACAAGCAACTTCTGAAGATTGAAGCTTTGTTGCGGCGCATTATCGACACCTTGTAAGATGCCAAAGTTGCGTATTCCTCATTTGAGTGTACAAATCAGTCTCGTTTCAGTTTCATCGCATCGGCCTGGGTCCGCATCGCACAGAACACCCATTCCAACTAAGTAGGCCCCCCTGTGTGAAGACAACAGCCAGGCTCCCCTTAAGCACCCCGATGCTTTCATCGGGTTGTGTCGCTACATGGTCCCTTAAAAATATGGGCCCCTAAAGACCCCATATGCTATTTACCCTAGAAAACCCAAGGGCCCATTCTTCAGAACCCTTTCAAGAGGGTAGGGCCCATATTAAGGGACCACGTAACCAACCCTAAACCCTAAACCCCAAATCCCAAACCCTAAACCCTAAACCATACACCCTACACCCTACACCCTAAACCCTAAACCTAAGCCGCCCTTAGATTATTGGCGGCCTATGGTTCCACCCATCGGGAGATGTTCCTTGGCGCTGTCAAGAGTATCTGGTAGGATGCCCCTGGCATGTCATGCTTGCAGCTGACGACGAACTTCCCGCACATAGCCTCTTAAGGCCCTAAACCCTAAACCCCAAACCCCAAACCCTAAACCAGCTGTCCCCTTTCGACACGAAAGCACTGCGTAGCATCAGCTAGCACGCCCAAGAGCTGCTGAGGCACAGCTGCACAAAGAAGCCGAGGATGAAGGTCACCTCAATGTGCACAGCTTGAACAGCTATGCAGCGTTTTAGGGCTTAGGGTTTAGGGAAGTAAGGTACCCTGTGGACCCTTAACCTGCTGAGACATCTTCCTGAATAAGATCCTCTATAAAACCCCATCATGTCAGGAAAAGCAACAGTGTCCGGAGTTCGGGACGTGGTAGCCTTAGGGTTTAGTAGGGTTCCGGGTTTTGGTATCAGGTTTCGGGAACTTTAGTCGGGGGCTGCATGAGCAACCCTAAACCCGAGAAGCACAAGGAGTCATCCTTTGCCCGAAGCCCTAAACCCTAAACCCTAAACCCTAAACCCTACATCCCCAAACCCAGAACCCTAAACCTGGCGCCAACCTTTCGTGGCCGAGCCGTCTTGGCCGCAGAAGGCTCAAGGCAGTCCGTCATGCTGGGAGTAGGTCAGGGTGTCTACGCTGCTTGCTTGGAAAGTGCACGGCTCAAAAGCCTGGCGATTCAATGTGAGGCTTTGGGCCATTCTTGCACTTGGATTCCCTGACTACTCAACGTCGCAAGCATGCTCCATGGCTCGGCAGGACTCAGATGCTCTGCATTGCGATCCTGCCCCGCCAGTGATGCTGTACATGCCCTCGCAAGCATCCAGGGGCTGGTCAGAACATGTGACATTCTCCTTAGTAGCCCAGTCACCATATTAGAATGAGGGTGATGTTGGACCCGATTTAGTAAAGTGGGGCTCTATTCAGGGTTTTCCCGAAAACTTCTAGGGGGCCCCCCCATATGAGGCTGGTCCACAATTATGCGATGTTGCCCGGCCGAGCCTCACGATTCGGGAAAAAAAAAGGCTTCGTCATCTGAAAAAAAAAAGAAGCTGAAGGCTTGTTTTCTTTAGTCTCCGCAGAGTCAGAAGTCGTTTGGTCTGTGCCCTCAGGGCACAAGTGCCTTTCAGGCACCTACTGAACCTGCACTCCGGAGCTGGGCCTTAGGTTAGAATTAATTAGGGGACCCCAACCCAGATTCTAGAGGATCTCCCAAAATCCCAAAATTGTTTGGGGGGGGGCCCTGGCTACTCCAGCGAGTCCAACATTACCCCTTTTTGGTTGCTCACCTTATAAAGGGAACCCGCTGAACAAAAAACAGAGGAAAAGGGGACCACATGGGCTAGCCACTGGCAGCGCCGTGCCATTGCAGGCGCTCGAGAAGACCAGCCTCTCCGGATCCCCAACGTAGATCTCGACATTCCGGATGTCTCCGTTGAATCCTTGGCCGCCAATGAAAATCATGTCGATGGGCCTTAGGACGAAGTCGGCGGCTGAAAGGCCCGCAAGTATGTTAGCTGTGTACACCGTCTCTACATCAAGGAAGACAGAGGCACTCGTACTGCCTTTGACCAGCTCAATCTCGTGCCACTCGCCATCATCAAGCCGCTTGCCGGGAATCAACATGCCCTCGTGCCAGCCGCCATCATCAAGCCGCTGGCCTGGAAGGCCGCGCCCACGTGGGCCGACTTCCGCTGCCGTCTGGCAGTAAAAGGTCATTTTGCCCTGATGGTCGGCTGGATAGGCCGGTCCAAGACCATGGGACGTGAACACTATGTTAGTTGCAGAGGCGTAGTCTACGGACACCCTGCCCGTGATGATATTCGGATACTTCGCACACATGTCGAAGAACTTGACGCGGCACTTGATGCGGAAAGACTTGACAAGGTCATCCGCGAACTCGCTCGCATCGATGTCGCGGCGAGAAAAGGACCCCGGATCCCGCAAACAATTTGGCGCAGGCTGGTCCTCTGGCGCTCCAGGCGCTAAACGAAGGAGCAGAAAACAGGCACCAACGATCAGAACACAGGTAGCAAACGCAGCAGAGGCCCATGCCACACATTGCCATGACTTTGCCATGAAGTACTGTGCCTTGACGCTGAAGCTTCACAGCATTAAAGAGCCCGAGTAGGCTTCTTTCTTTTTTTGTGGAGCTGGTGCATACCTTCCATTTCTACACGCGCCACTGACCATCCAGTTTCTGGGGGGCCTGGGTGGGTCTGTTACACATACATTTAGCAGGGACCAATCAGGGCTACAACGCTCGCAAACTCGTGGCTGCAACCAAGTGTTGTTTGATTGAACATGCTACAAATTACCACGGCATTACGAGGATGACTTGGGTTCGGCCGGTCCACACTAACAGTCAAATAACGCCGTGGCCTTGTAACACACAGGTCAACAATAGCACCAGGAATCCCAGTGAATATTAGCATTTACCGGGTGCTGCTTTTTGTGGGTCTGCTTGTGGTGACTGCTAGTCACATAGCACCAGAAACAGCACCAGAAATAGCACCAGAAACAGCACCAGAAATAGCACCAGAAATAGCACCAGAAACAGCACCAGAAATAGCACCAGAAATAGCACCAGGAATCCCAGTCAATTTTGGCAGCTTAGCATTTACCGGGTGCTATATCTTGTAGGTCTGCTGATGGTGATTGCTAGTCACATAGCACCAGAAACAGCACCAGAAATAGCACCAGAAATAGCACCATAAATAGCACCAGAAATAGCACCAGAAATAGCACCAGGAATAGCACCAGGAATAGCACCAGAAATAGCACCAGGAATCCCAGTCGATTTTTGGCATTTCCCGGGTGCTTTTGTTTGTGGGTCTGCTGGTGGTGGCTGTTAGTGTGGACCGGCCGAACCCAAAGGATGACACTACTGCAGCAGTGCTGCTGAGATCATGGCTCCGCCCTACTGGTCCTTTCATGCCTGCTACTGCCGGCACTGCGCAAGCAATGCAAACACCTCACAGAAACACAAATGGGGGTTTCCGAACAGGGGTACCCTTTTTGGGGTTCCTTTCCAAGGATTAAAGTCTTTTAGGGTATGTGAAGGGTACCCCTATTATCGGACATCCGAAAATGTCGCCACACAATCTGCATGGCGGATGTACAAACAGGACTAACCGCGACAATATTCGCAAGAATGACAAGCATGACGAACGACGAAATAGCAGAACCAATATCGATGGCAACTGAACCACAATACAGGCATGACTAGCAACAACAATCATAAATCATCATCACCATCAGCATCAACCTTTTTTCAAACAAGCCTGTGCCTGCTGAAGAAATCTGAAATCCCAAGGGCGTGACAAGCACAAGGTGTAAAGACATTATGCAATCTCAGGCAAGTTCCGCGACCCAATGCTCTAGCAATGCGGGCATTCCCCCAAATAGGGGACTTACGATAACCCTTACTATAGGGCCGCCCCTACAACCCTGTTTTCGGAACCCCCCCCCCTCCCAAAAAGAAATATTAATAATCATAGCAATAATAATAACAATAATAATAAACAGCCCAAGGGATGTGCCCAGGGGCCGCATAGGCCGTGGCGGTTTCATCGATCAGCATGTTACACATCATCATCATCATCATCATCATCCTCATCCTCATCCTCATCATCTTCTTCCAAGGAGGCAGTCCAGCCCAGCGACCATGAGCAAAACTCGCTGCAGGAGGGCCTCCATGGCGGACGTATGGAAAGAGGAGCCGGGGGGAGGGGGGGTCAGGGTTTAGGGTTTAGGGCTTAGGGCTTAGGGTTTAGGGTTTGCTGTGATAGGGCGTAGCTGCTGTGAAGGTTAGGTTTTTGGAACAAGCTTGAAAGCTTCGTGAGGCGCGAAGAGCAGCTTTGGCCGACCACCCCACGCCGTCCGAGGCGGCAAAGCCACCCAAACCTATTCCTTTTAGGGTTTAGGCCTAAACTCAAGCCAATTGCTTACTTTCCATGAAGCTTCTTCATTCCGTCACGGTGGTCGCCAGCCTGGTTCAGGTTCACAAAAAAAAACCACAGGCAGAAGGGGTTGGGCAATCAGTACCAAAAAAGGGGAGGGGAGGGGGGGGCAGCGGGGCCAGAGGGCCCAGGAAGGGGCAGGGCCGGAGCCAGAAGGTCGGTGGGGGGGCAGGGGCCAGGGGTCCTCTGGTCCCACCCTGCGGCGAAGGGTCCGGGTCCTCCTTTTCAATGCCTTTGCGAGAGCCCCAGACACAAGCCCTAGACGGCTCCAGTATAGGGTCCTTCATACAGTAGCCAGAAGAAGGTTTCCGGGTGCAGTCCACTGTAGACTACTGTTCTTTCGACCGCTGAACTACTAGTTTGCAGACCAAACTCTTGGACGATCAGCTCTGCCATGGGCGGCACTTCTTCGGCGAAAGGCCAGCGCATCTCGCAGCAAGGCCATAGGACTCTGCGGGCACCATATATTTCAAAAAACCAGGAGACCCAGTAAGCAAAGTTGTAATGTTGTACTAGTAAGTATAATACTATAGGTAACTACTACTTACAGCCATGCGGAGATACGGATTCACTTCTATATGAGCACTGGTTCCACCACCCAACTCTTGCGTTAATCCGCATTCATGGTTCCCTAGCGGTGTTGATGGCCCTCGAGCAGAAGTCCGATGCGGGTCGGGATGGCGCGGAGCTCACTCGATTTTCTTACCTCTAGCTGCCGAAACATCATATGAGCTACCCCTTCACTTCAACACTCGTTTTCCTGGCCGCAGCAGATGAAATCATGTCGGGAGATCCTGCCCTCGAGCGCCTAGAGGAAGAATGGCCCCGCCCACGCATGTCGTCGGGATAAAGCGGGGTCCATGCCCGATTGAGAGTTTCGAGTGTACCTGTGATGCAAGTCACGATCCCCTGTACCCTAAACCCTAAACCTCTAAACCCTACATAACCCCTAAACCCCCCGAAAGAACGCATGGGGCAAGCGGCCTTGCAGCTCTCGCCATCACCCTCCCTCTCTGAAATCAAATGCCAGGGCTGTAGCCGGACCCAGGCTCTCCGGCACCGGAAACCGTTTAGGGTTTAGGGTTTAGGGTTTAGGGTTTAGGGTTTAGGGCTTGGGTTTAGGGTTTAGCATAGGGGTTGACTTTTCAAGTCAGGGTCCGGGGACGGTGTCATGATCAACGAGCCCATCAAGATCCAGGACTCACGCCCTATGGCTGGGCTAACAGTAACAGGTTTGCAGCAGGCCGTTGCTCGCCGGCGCCGCGAATCATGTATAGATGAAGCTAAGAGAAAGTCAAGGTCCGGGGACGTAGTGGCCACCTGATTCCGGATCAACGTGCCTATCGAAATTTTAGAACAACTTTCTTTTGCGGCGTTTGGGAACTCCAAGTGCCCCCCCAGGTGCCCTTCCGCAGACTCTGCAATGCCCTCTTTGGCTGGGCCTGCAGATTCTGCAACTGCACAAAACCCTCGCACTCCGGCGCGGTTATAAAAATCACATCTGATCTGAAGTACGGGTCCGAGGACAGAGTGGCTCAGAATCGGGACTCTCAAGATCTTGCAAGACTTCCCTCAACTTATACTGGGCACCCAAGCGCCCTGACAGCCCTCGCCGTTCCTCAGACTCCTGCGGATCTGCAATGCCCTCCGCTGGTGGGCTGACAGATTCTATGCAAAACTCGATGAACCGGCTATATTGTGGCTCATTACAAAGGCTCTTTGGCCGATCATGATTTAAAGCAAGCTGATGCTCCGCAGCGAGAGCTCCACGGTCTCGCCCTGCTGCTTGGGCCACCGAGCCTCCGCATCCTGTGGCAAGGTTGCAAGAAGAGTTTGGCGGTTCTAGGGTTAGAAGGGTTTCTGGTTGCTTTTTTCGGGGGGGTTAGGGTTTAGGGTTTAGGGTTTAGGGTTTAGGGTTTAGGGTTTAGGGTTGAGGGTTCAGGGTTCAGGGTTAGGGTTTAGGGTTTAGGGTTTAGGGTTTAGGGTCTAGGGTCTAGGGTTTAGGGCCACGGTTTAGGGGTTTACAGTCGGGTTTCAGGACACTTCCTGAGGCTGCACAGCTCGATTCCTTGCTGCAGCATGATTCCCTCTCTGAAAGGGAGTTACGCAGGCGGCCTGGAAGAGGCGCAGGGCCAGCGCTTCCGGGCCGTCTGCACAAAGAGTCCAGCGGTTCAAGTGGATGTGCGAGGGCTTTAGCGTCAAAAAGCTGATGTCCGTACAGGACTTCCGATGTCAGTTGTGCCTTCGGGTTGTATGAGGTTGCCTACGGCTACCCTGTTTCCTGCTTTAGTCTAGTTTATGCAACGCTTCTGCGCCTGGCTTCAGCGCCTGCGCGGCCGCCATCACACAGGGCGCTAGCAGGGCGGCGCGGGCCGTCAGCACCCGGCCTCTGCCGCTGACACATTGGCACATACTCAAGTGACGGTCTTGGCGTCCTTCGGCCCTGCCTGTCGAGAAGGCGAAAGCCGCGATTGCCAGACCTAAGTGCGGATCGTGTCACAGTGGAAGCTTCAACAGCCGAAGTTCATTTACTCTTCGAGCGGCTATCGTACTCTGCTGGCTGATGAAACTATAGCCGGGGAGCAGAAGAAGCAGAAGCTCTGCAAGTCGTTCACCTGCACAGGAGGAGGAAGTGAGATTCTAACGACCATGCATGGGGGTGATGCATGTCAACCCGCGAGCGGAACCGAAGTCGCCAGAATCCTTCGAGACTTACTCGGCTACAGATCAGCTCAAGATGCTTTAGCAGCTTTAGAACAAGGCAAGACATCAAGCGTCGAATCCCTCTTGTTGCAACCGCCCTTTGTACACCACACGCAGTGCGATGCACATTTTTGCTCAAACAAGCTGTCCGGGAGCAGAACCGCCTGGTGCTGCCGAAAAGGTCGGATCGTGGCGATGGCAAGCGAGGTGCACAAGGTGAAGCCCAAGGTAAACTCCAGGCCGTTCTCGCTCCGCACGGACTCGCACACAAGAGCCCGAGGTGGGAAGGAAAACGTCGTTGAGGTTCCACTTTGGTTTTGCGGAAAGTCTTCGGGCCACTTCAGCCAAGGCGCGGCCACCAAAGCAACGGCCACAATCCGCATGGCCTCAAGAGTCTGGCTTGGGGCAGATCAGAAAGGGTCATGAATCTCCTGGATTTCTTGCAATCTCGCGGGACAACCGGGAGCTGGCCGACACTTCCAACACTCCTGCGTGACCTCTACAATGCCTGATATTCAAGGCATGATCAAACTCCCAGATTGAGAAACTTGGCGCAAGCAAAAACGCCATCCGGGCTCCCGAAGCAAAGTGCTCAATAATATGCAGGCAGCCCGCCTCCACAAATCAAGACTATTGACGTGCAGTTGACGTGGAGGAACGCTTGTGTTCAAACATGGGCCTGTGTACATATATGCCGTCCAAGCAGCATGGGCTCCCAATGTCAGGTTCAGTATTTGGGAAGCTTCTAAAGGATCATGTGCATCTTGACTTATGACAAGCGACAAAGGGAAAGGATTCCTCGGATTGGTTCCACATTCCAGATAGTAAGCGAGCGGCGATCTCGAACCACACGCTTTGGCACGCTGCCTCGGCAGGTCAAGCACTCCCTCTCTCTCTATCCCCCTCTCTCGCTCTCCCCCCTCTCTCTCTCTCGCTCTCTCTTCTGGTTCTTCTTCTTCTTCTACAGGGCATCCTCTCGCTCGCTCTCTTCTTCTTCTTCTGCTGGGCTTAGAGGCCCGGAGGCCCCCGTGCGCGAGCGCGCCCGAAGTCCAGTCTCAAGTGAAAACTCTCTCTCTCTCTCTCTCTCTCTCTCTCTCGCTCTCCAAATTCCAGGATTCAAGGCTGTGTGAGTCAATCTACATACGTCAAGGCTCGCATTCGTCCAGGCGGGGCTGTTGCTCTGACCCACTATAAGTTAATTCTCAGGCACATATTTGACGAAGAACTCTTTTGCACCGGCCACAATTCCTGAGACAGCTGCTGGACATGTCCGTGTGGCTTGCAAACGCACTGTTGCAAAGAACTTCTGCATGCTTCTCTCGCTCTCGCTCTCTCTCTCTCTCTCTCTCTCTCTCTCTCTCTACATATATATATATATGGTACCCCCCCCCCAGTGACCTACCCTTTTTCGCCTTGTCTCAAGTCACCCAGCTGCACTGCAAGCAAACTCGGTGTGCAATGTAGCGTATTTCCTAGGGCGTAGACTAAAATACAATTAAAATCGCATACACGGGACAGTAGAAAAACCAAAAAAACCAAAACCAAAAAAACCAAAAAACCAAAACCAAAAAAACCAAAACCAAAAAAACCAAAAAAACCAAAACCAAAAAAACCAAAAATACCAAAAAAACCAATTTTCCGGGACTCTCAGGAAATCCCTATGAGGCTTCTCCAAGAGTCCCGGAAAATTGGTTTTTTTGGTATTTTTGGTTCTTTTGGTTTTGGTTTTTTTGGTTTTTTTGGTTTTGTTTTTTTTGGTTTTTTTGGTTCTTTTGGTTTTGGTATTTTGGCTTTTTGGTTCGCCTTCACGGTCACGAGGCAATAACTACGCATTTTTAAGTGTGCTTATGCTAATTGTGCTTTTCAGAAATAGTATACAAGTGGTCTTTCTAGTGCTTCAGAACTATTTGTTTCGTTATTATGTAAGTAGAGCCGCTAGTGTTTAGTGCATCTTTTGGTTGTACTCAAGTGTGGTAGACCTTATTCAGCCTTTACTTGGTGCTCTGGTAGCTCAATTCGCATGGATAATATTTGCCTGGTAAATGCGATTAATTCTCTAGAAGCAGCATTTGCAATACTTGTCTTGAGAAAAAGCATTTATTGCTTAGAATTGTTTGCTTAAAAAGTGACTCCTACTCGTCCAGGAATACCCCAAAACCCTATAATCCAAACTTTACCAGAGATTCTCCTGAAAAGCTTGCGCTTTTGGATGTTTTTATGTATTTGTGAATTTGCTTGTGTATGGCCTTCACTAAGTACTTTTCTAGGATTCTTGTGCATTTTTAAGCCTGATTGTGCAAGTTGCGTTTTTCAGGCATAGTATATATGTGGTCTTTATTGAATACTTCAGACATCTTTGTTTCATCGTTATGTAAGTAGAACGGCTTCTATTTCCATTATTGTGCATTTTTAAGCTTGCTCATGCAAATTGTGCTTTTCAGACATAGTATACAAGTGGTCTTTAGTGAATACTTCAGCAATCTTTGTCTCATTGTTATGTAGGTAGAACCGTTTCCATTTCCGCAAGTGTTTATTTCGTATTTGGTTAAGTATGGTCCTTTAAATAGTATTCACTTGAGTCAAATTGGGCTCTTTGCTTAAGAATTCCTCTAGTAGTTAAATTCGCATAGAATGAATACTTCAAAAAATGTTTCATGAATATGTAAACATAAGGTGTTTCATTTGACTTTGCAGATAGTACTTCAATAATACTTTGCCTGGTATAAACACAACTGTTTCAATGCATTAGTTGCTCAACAAAGCACTATTTGCCCTTTAAACCACACTTTGCCATATGGTGGTTGAATATGGTGCTTCTTTCGTATTTTGGTTGAGTATGGTCCTTTATATGGTATTCACTTGAGTCAAATTGGGCTATTTGCTTAATAGTTACTCTAGTAGCTAAATTCGCATAAAATGATTATTTCAAAAATAAAAACGATTCATGAATATGTAAACATAAGGTATTTCAGTGGACTTTTCAGAGAGCATACTTTGCCTAGTACAAACACAATTGTATAAATACAGCATTTGCACTTTAAACGCACACTTTGCCATTTTTTGGTTGAGAATGGTGTTTATTTCGTATCTTGGTTGAGTATGCTCCTTTAAATAGTATTCACTTGAGTCAAATTGGGCTCTTTGCTTAATAATTACTCTAGTAGCTAAATTCGCATAGAACCAAGAAAAATGTTTCACTATTTGATTAATACTTTGCCTCGTACAAACACAGCTGTATAAATAAATTAGTTGCTCAACAAAACATTAATTGCCCTTGAAACGCACAATTTGCATAGAAAAACACTGATCTAAACATCTAAAAACAGCATTGTCCGCTTCAGATTCAAAATGTAGATTCTTCCAATGCTGGCTTATCGGGGTCTGTGAGGTGGGTGTCCCAGTAACTGTCCTTCATTACCCGGTGATTAACTACGCGACTTTTGGGCCTTCTTTGTTATTGTTTGTAAAAAAGGCCTAAAAAGGCCTAAAAAGGGTAGGTCGCTGGGGGGGGGGGGGTAGCATATATATATATATATATACATACACATACATGTACATATTTCATATGAGCTCATAATATGTATGCCTCAAAAGCTGCGCTTCTACAATATACACAAGGCATCTGCGGCTTTCAAAGGCAGGCAGGCACGAGGAACCATGAGGACCTGCCAAGCATCTGTCGGAGGAGGCGGCCTCTTCAAGTACGTACCGCTCCTTCAGCATCCTCCGTGCGGGTCCACGCATTCACGTCAAACCAGTGACTTCATGCAAAGGAGAAGTCGAAGAGCGCTCAAAACAAACCGCGGACCCGATTCGTCTTTGTCTGGGTTGGGAAAGGAAGGCAGGACTAAGAAGGACAAAGACAAGGCCTCTCAAGAGCTTGGCAACGCCGAAGATCTGCATCGCCCTTGTTCCCCAGGACCGTCCAGACGAAGCTGCTCCCCTGAGCAGCGCACCAACATCCGTGTCTCTCCAGTTGAATATACCAGCACACTCGATCGAGCGAGGGGCGTCCAAGTTCACGACCTCTTCGGCGCCTTGCTCCGTTGGTCGGAGGATCCTTAGCTGATGCACGACGGACATCCCGACAGTTCAGAGGGGTTGCAGGCCGGTGGCAGCCAAGACTCAGGCGCTCATCCTGCAGCTGGACCCGGACGCCTCCGGAGAAGTAGATGCAGCTGCGGGCGACCGCCGCGGCCAGGAGGCTCTTCCTTTTCAGCTCCTCCGGTCTCGGCAAAGAGGCAGCACAGAGCTACAACTCCACTTTCCAGGCTGTGTGAACAATCTGGCATTGTCCTGCTCGGGCTCAGACTTCTCGGACTCCTCGAGCGGCAGAACCCAGACCGTGACGTCACCTCCCTTCGTGGCGACATGGCTGACGAAGCGCCGGCTGGGCGCCAAAGCCAGGTGCTGCTTAAACATGAGGTACGCCAGGAAGCTGGGGATCAGCAGCCCATAGCAGACGACGCACAACGCACCGATGCTATCTGCCTCAGTTTGTACAAGGCCTACGGGCTCCACGGGCCCTGTGCAGGCTTACGGGCTTGCGGGGCCTCGCAGGAGACGGTAGCCGAGACTTCCGACAACGGATGGCTCCAGGACTAAGCTGCATTTCGAACTTGCCTAATGACTCCATGCAGTGCCTCTGCGGCGAAGTCCTAGCAGAACACCTGCAGCGTGGCGACAATGGGGGCAGTGTCCTGGCACTTGATGTCCGGCAGCGCCGTCCGGAATGCATACATATCGGGCAGCCGATCTTTGCCTCTACAGGCGAGAACCGGAAATCAGTACGGGGCAAAGCAGCGAGCGTTCGCACCTCCGTCGGTGTGCTGGCATCGCGTGAGCGCCGCGCTGCTCGAGGCGCCCCCGATGTACAGCAAGGTGAGCAGCTTCAGGGCAAGGCTGACGCCTGCAGAACGTGACGCTCACGCGGACGTCGGCTAGGCGATCTGTGGTCTGAGGATGTCTGAGGCCACTGCCGCTTCCGTGGGAGGCCACCTCCAAGAGGACGCAGAGCGCCAGCAGCGCCAGGGGCACACATGGCCCGGCCAGAGCCACGACATCGTTCGCTGTCCTGACTGCGACGACACGACACGCGCAGCACTGACTTCCGGGCTGCTGTGAGATTCAAGAAAGGTCCTTCCGAACCAGCACTCGAGGCTCGTCGCATCACGGAGGCCTTGCGCGGTAAGCTGGAGCCACTGGACACACTCCTGAGCCCGAGCAAGCGCGCAGGACTTGCTGGCAAATGCTGTTGGAGGGGTCGCTCGAGTGCGCAGCAGCACAGCCTCTCCTCCGCCCACAAGCCATCAGTCTGCGTCGGTTCATCACCAGTTCTTGTCTGGGATTCCAAGAAGGCCACCAACAGGCCCCAGAGTTGGAACAGTTGGAGCAGCACGGGGCCCTGTGCCTCCAACAGGGGCTGCATCACCTGGAGAAGCATACTAAACGGCTCTCTGTTTCTGGCAATAACTAGACAAGAGGATACAGCTCGAGAACATACTAAGGAATCATTAACGTTACCAGACAATGCCCGGCAAAATGTGCCCCGCTTTGATGTTTGACTCGTGACGCTCCACAGGGTCGGCTCGGGCCGGGCCGTCGCGGGCTGGCTGTGGCTCCTGCAGCTACATCTGGAGTCGCTCGTGTTCGCTCTCTCTATCTCTCTTTTCCCTCCTTGCCTCCTCCCTCCCCTGCGCTCTCTCTTCCTTCTTCCTTCCACTGCACTTCACCCCCGAAGGGGTCGCCCTGACGGGCGTGCTCCAGTGATCCAGTTGGCGTGAGATTGTGTGCACCACATTTGGGTTGCTTCTCGTGTGGAATGTCCCCAACTGTTGTCCTGCGCAACTATAGTCATGGGCGATGCTGACTCCCCCGAAGCAAGAATTGGTAAACACATGAGTATAAAGCTCCCAGCACAGCCAAGACGGAAACCACTCCCCACAACTCCCTCACTAGTCAGGAGAGTGTCGTGTAGATGCTGCCCATGGCTCGCTTGTACAGGATCAAACACTACTGCGACCCCTAGTTTTGTGACTTAACACGTCTTGGAGCTGTTTGGGCTCGACGGTGTTCATGCCTGTGCTCCCCGAGGACTCGTGTAGGACTTGACAAGTCTACGTGCATTGACGAGGCACAAGTGTAAAACTGTGTGGGTCCTCGGCACTAGGCAACGGGAAATGTGTAGGTTCTCTCGTCCCCTGTTATTCAGGGTAAAGATGGTCCAAAGCTTGCCGTGCTTTTGGGAAAGACAGCTAGGGCAAACAACTCCCTCGACCAGAGGCCTTCTACTCCCTACACCCTGCACTTCATCTGCAGCGACTCCCCAACTCTTGTTGCTTAGGGTAACGATGGCCACAGCTTGCCATACTCCCAACTAAAGAAGGTCCACAACTTCGTCATGCTTGTGGAGGTTCTGTTGACGGTTGAGTTCATCCACATCAGCTGCCTCTTATCTTCGGGATATGGTGTTCCCACTTCAGGACTTGTGGAATGGGGCCGGCTAGGGGTAAGATGTGCTGCTCCCATCTCTCTCTCTCTCTCTCTCTCTCTCGCTCCCCCTCCCCCTCCCTCTCCCCAAGACATCTCTCCATCTCCATCAGCTCCGGCCTTCGCCACAGGAAGATACCGGTAACGAGCACTCCGGCGAAGACCGCGGCCCCGACTACCCAACGCAAGTACAGCCTGGCCATGCGCAGATTACTATTTGAGAGCGTTGACTTCAAAAGGCATACAAGAAGTACTTATAAGACCGCTTAAACAATGTGCCGGTTCAGAACTGCTATCGGCCCGGAGGCCAGCGCGCGCCGGCATCGGCCATTTCGCAGGGAACGCAGACGCCGGCGCGGCTGCGGTAGCCCCAGGAGCAGGCCACGCAGAGTGGACCCTCATGGCCTCTGAGGAACTTTTCTACTACTGTATGACGGTGACGTGCATCCCTGAGTGGGTGCGGTCCGGTGGCCGGCGGCGCAGCCCAGAGCCGCGCCGCTCCCAGTGCCGTTCGCAAATGAAGCGTTGCAGCGCACCTTCGCAGCAGGCTCCAAGCACCTGACGAGGCAACGACGACGGAACGCGCCTCACAGGCGAAAGCATTGCGCCTGTAAGCACGTCCAGCTCCGGCTTGCAGACGGGCATAGCCGACCTGCGCAGCTGCATTCACTCCTCTTCGCAATCCGCATATAAATCGCAAAGGATCATCGCAGGCCTGCGGTGCCGCCGAGCTCGCGTTGAGGCCGTGCTGACGGCAGTCCTCCCGAGACTGCACAACTTTTCTTCCGGCTGTGGGCTCCGGGTAGTTCCAAAGCCAGACCCCTTCGAGCTCAATGTTTTGCCCGAAGGGGATTTCAATCGGATGAGGGCAGATCAAAACATACATTTACGCCCTGCCATGTATAGAGCAGTCGGCAGCCCTGCAGTCCAAGTGCAGCTCTCCGCAGTCTTCGCAGACATCCCTCGGAAGCGCATGTGAGGTCTGGAAACATTCCACGGCCCTATAAGCATGTTCGACCGTGCTAAATGCTTTTGATGTATGTATGGTCACGTCTCCAAAACAGGGTCCGCGGCACCTTAGTATTGAGGGTACCCAAAAAGGGACCATATTTTAGATAAATGACCATATAAGTATTTGCGGCTTTTTTCCGGTGCATGGGGTCTGAGACCGTTTGGGATGGAGTGCTCGTCCATAAATCTTTTCATCTCGCGATGCGGCCAAGAGTCTTGTGGAGGGCTTTCGAAGCATCGCACTGGCAATCTTGCCCAGACCCAGACTTCGACAGATGCATCCTGCGGTGGAAGACCGGTCGAGGAGTGGGGATGTATATAGAATTGCAGGATGGTGCTCCTCCCAATCCTAGAAACATATAGACATACAGAGGCTCTAGAGCTCCCCGACTTGTCCTGCCGACTGTGCAGACGCAGCTGAAGACAGAGGTGGCCCCTGCTATCGCCGTGCTGTTGCTGGGGCACGGCGCACAACTGCGGTTGAAGTGCTCATTGTAGGTGTTTGGATGGCACTGCTTGCACGAGGTGCCGTTCCCTTCGAAGCCCTCGCTGCAGGCGCACAAGCCTTGCGGCCAAAATGAGGACGGAGACACCCGCAAAGACGTGGAGGTGATGTCGTAACATGCGAAACCCTTCAGGCGATCGCTTTGGGTCAGCTGTTCAGTTCTGTGAAGAAATCCTTCATGAAACAGTGTGGCGACATCGTCCGTGTTGGAGATTTTGGTAGCCGTGAGGTCCACCTGCACATTGTTGCCCAAGGCTTCCCGCAATGCTTTCACGTTCAGAAACGTCTCCGAGTTGTTCGCCAAGGAGACGTTGTCGTTGGCAGGGATGCCCTCGATGCGATGGATCCTGTTGTCCGCCAACTCCAAGACTTGCAGGGTCCGCTGCAAGGGTACAGCGCAATAGCGACCATAGTCGGCACCATTCACGTGTACCTCGCGCAAGCAGCTCTTCAAGACATGGCCGGAAAGGTTCGTGCCGCTGGCACGGATCGAGGCCAGGTGTCCTGCGAAGGAGAGGGGCTCCAACAGGTTCTGCACTTCGCCATCCAGCGGACATCGTGAGACCTTAGGTAGGATACAAGAAACATCCAGAGACGACCTCTAAGTAACCTTCATGAGCTCTCAGTCGGCAAGCGCATCCGCCCGCCCGGAGCTTCAATGGAAGCGCAACAACATGCAACAATGCGGCGTCCAAGTTCACCAGAGCCGGAAGGAGCTGCCGCGTCTCGTCGGTGAAGAATGTCGCTCGGAGGTCTTCGAGGTCGCCTCCGACGGGCAGGAAGTTCACCCGGCTCCCCTCGGCTTCGTCGGGTTGTGCCCAGGAGAAACGGTGTACATGCGGCCTTGCTCTGAGGGCCGGTCCGCGAGGTCGAGCGAGCGGAGCTGGAGGAGCTGGCCCCGCCAGGCGGACGTCAGGCGCCCAGACACGAGCGTGCTGCTCAGATCGGCCTGCGACATGCGCAAAGATGTGAATCTTCAGGGACGGGGCCGGGTACAAGCCGACAGTGCTACAGTGAAGGGGGACGGCTCGGGGGCCTTTTCCAGGTTTGTCAACTGAACCAGGTCGGCAAGATCGCCATACATGTCAGTGTTCCTGAGCCAGAGCTTCTTCAGCTTCGTGAGCTTGGAAAGTGCTTGCAGGTCACCGGCCACCTTGGTATCATGCAACCATAGCTGCTGCAGCTGCTCATCTCGCTCAAGCCTGCAAGTCTCCGGTGACGCCGGTGTTCTTGAGCAAGAGCCTCTTCAGCTTCGTGAGCTTGGAGAGTGCTTGCAGGTCACCGGCCACCTTGGTATCATGCAGCCACAGCTTCTGCAGCTCGCTCATCTCGCTCAAGGCCTGCAAGCCTCCAGTGACGCCGGTGTCCGAGAGATACAGCTGCTTCAGCTTCGTGAGCTTGGAGAGGGGCTGCAAGTCACCGGCCACCTTGGTGCCATCCAGCCACAGCTTCTGCAGCTCGCTCATCTCGCTCAACGCCTGCAAGCCTCCGGTGACGCCGGTGTTCTGGAGCAAGAGCTCCTTCAGCTTCGTGAGCTTGGCAAGTGGTTGCAGGTCACCGGCCACGTTGGTATCATGCAGCCACAGCTTCTGCAGCTCGCTCATCTCGCTCAAGGCCTGCAAGCCTCCAGTGACGCCGGTGTCCGAGAGATACAGCTGCTTCAGCTTCGTGAGCTTGGAGAGGGGCTGCAAGTCACCGGCCACCTTGGTGCCATCCAGCCACAGCTTCTGCAGCTCGCTCATCTCGCTCAACGCCTGCAAGCCTCCGGTGACGCCGGTGTTCTGGAGCAAGAGCTCCTTCAGCTTCGTGAGCTTGGCAAGTGGTTGCAGGTCACCGGCCACGTTGGTATCATGCAGCCACAGCTTCTGCAGCTCGCTCATCTCGCTCAAGGCCTGCAAGCCTCCAGTGACGCCGGTGTCCGAGAGATACAGCTGCTTCAGCTTCGTGAGCTTGGAGAGGGGCTGCAAGTCACCGGCCACCTTGGTGCCATCCAGCCACAGCTTCTGCAGCTCGCTCATCTCGCTCAACGCCTGCAAGCCTCCGGTGACGCCGGTGTTCTTGAGCAAGAGCTCCTTCAGCTTCGTGAGCTTGGCAAGTGGTTGCAGGTCACCGGCCACCTTGGTGCCATCCAGCCATAGGTTCTGCAGCTCGCTCATCTCGCTCAAGGCCTGCAAGCCTCCGGTTACTTCGGTGTCCGACAGAGATAGAAACTTTAGGCTGGTGAGATTCGCAAGAGGATCCAGTATGCCGCTGATGGGTCTGCGATGTAGATCCAGCGCCTGCATACAACCGTCCTCACGGAAGCGGATTCCTCTCCACTTGTCGGGCTGCCCCTTGAGCTCTTCGGCGGGGATCCCGAGCGTCAGCAAGATGTGGCGGAGTGCCTCCGGGGACGGGCCTTGCAAGGGGCGGTGTGCAAAGGTGTGGGAACAACGAGTGGCCGAGCACGGAGCCCGACAGCCGAATGGGAACGGCCCCGCAAGTTTCAGCCGAGCGTCACTCTCTGGATCCGTTTTGTCTTCGGCCCGCTTGCTGGTCCCCGTGGCTGTCCTCGTGTGCTCACACATACACCCAAATGACGGACTTCACAAACTTGTTTCTGAACCCTGCATGCAGGGAGGCGTTTCCATAACAGGACTACGTAGTTTCCCCAGGGTCCATAGTTCTGCAGGTGGCCTCAATGCACGTGCGTGGGCCTTGAAACAATGATTGTCACAAGCTCCAAAGCTGCAGAGCTCACAGCGTTCCTCACCACCAACAAAAGAGAGAAATGTGGACTGCGGGAAACAAATACGTGAGACTGTCCTTCTTGCTTGCGCATGCTTGATGGCAGGGGGTTTGGCTGCGCAGTACGGGCAGTTGCACGGTCGCCAGACGTTGTTAGCGAACACTATATAAGGTCAAGGCAGCCGTGCTGGTTTCGTCCCCGCCAAGCTCATGTTATAATTAATCATCTGAACGCAACGTGACCTGGCCACATTGGTGACTTCTGTGTGCAGTTGCAAGTATCTACCAACAACAAATTCGGCCAGAGCCCGAGAAAGAAGAACTCTGTAACCGGAACCCTCAAACATCTGAATCTGGCGAGTCGGGGGCTGCGGGGGGGAGAGGGAAGCGCCAGGCCTCGAGCGCTAGCACGGATCCGACATCGCCATCGCTCCGGAGGGCCTCGGCTCTGCAGATTTCCAGACTTCGGGTTTCAGGCGTACTTTAAGGAAATTTAGTGGTCACATCGTCGTTTCCAGACCAGCGGCAGCTTGGGAAGGCATCAGGCAGGTTTGGGGGTAGCTCCGTGCAACCAACCATTGTGAACTTCCAGGTCTTCATGGTCTTGCTGATGGGCTCCACTTTCGGGGTTTCAGTTTGGGAGGGGTATCTGGAGAGAGTTTGAGGTTTGCTCTCGCGCAGGTGCGAACATTTGGGCATCATGACTTTCGCGACAAATTTTGGATAGTAAGAATCTATCAATCTCGCGACTCTTTCAACTTCAGGTGGCCCTCCACCCCGAGGCTTTGCAAATAAAATGTCTCTCGCGATTTGTGCAACTAAGGCGGGTCCTTCAGGGGCGAAAACTTTCGCGATTACATGCCACCCTGAAACTCTCGCTTTGATTGTTTGTCAAGCGTGGAGCCGCGCCGCTCACATCCTAGACGCCTGTGGAATTTGAGAAGCCGATTTGATGCCGCGGGCGCGTGGAATTTAAGCCGTTCCAGCGGGTTAAATTCCACGGGCGCGTGGAATTTAAGCAGTTCCAGCGGGTTACATTCCACGGGCGCGTGGAATTTGAGCAGTTCCAGCGGGTTAAATTCCACGGGCGCGTGGAATTTAAGCAGTTCCAGCGGCTTAAATTCCACGGGCGCGTGGAATTTAAGCAGTAATTCCCACGCCTCAAATTCCACGGTCACGTGGAATTTAAGCAAACCAGCGGCTTAAATTCCACGGGCGCGTGGAATCTATTTAAGCGGCAAAAAAAATCCGAGTCAGAAGTCCTTACTTCCGAGCAACAATCCTTCTTTCCGAGCAGCAATCCTTATTTCCGAGCAACATTCCTTATGTCCGAGCACCAATCCTTGCTTTCCGAGGCCAACCCTTAAATTCCACGCGCCCGTGGAATTTAAGCCGCTGGAACTGCTGAAATTCCACGCGCCCGTGGAATTTAAGCCGAGCCGCTGGAACTGCCTAAATTCCACGCGCCCGTGGAATTTAAGCCGCTGGAACTGCCTAAATTCCACGCGCCCGTGGAATTTAAGCCGCTGGAACTGCTTAAATTCTGCGCGCCCGTGGAATTTAAGCCGCTGGAACTGCTTAAATTCCATTCTCCCTTGCCAGGCCTCCTTCCAAAGACCTCCTTCCGTTTCTTCCTCCTAGCGCCTCCTTCCCAGAAGCCTCCTTCCAAAGCATTCCCTCCGGACTTCCTTCGCAAGGCCTGCTAACCATGGGTGATGGATTCCTTGCTGTGATTACACGCCGTAAGCCGCAAGCCTACACACCCCATCCCTCCCTTGGGCCCCGCGGCAACCAGGATTTGTCGCCGTTCGTTGGGCATCTCCTGCGCCCTTCCTTTATTTCGACCCAAAAACCTGCTGCTTCTCGAGCCACCACGTTTCGCTCAAAAACCGAAGCCTCCCGGCTTATTTCCGGGAATTCTGGAAGTCTACACAGGGCTCTAGGTCCAAACTGAGCTCTTCTTCAGGAACTTCATGTCAGTTATTATCCAGCATAAATATCGGGTTTCCTTATGGCAGCTTCAGATATAAGTTCCTTAACAAGAACCCAGCAAAGCACCAATGCGAGCAAAGCGTGAGAACATGTGAGAACGCAGCGTCTGCCGTCTGTCTAAGGAGTCCTCCGTCTATGCTTGCAGCCTCAAGTCTGAGAGAAGAAATGGAGCGACGAGGTGCCGCAGCGGAGTCCAGGCGCAGAGCCAGCAGCGGGGCAAGGCACAGGGCCAGGAGCCGCATGGAACCCGGGGGTCTTTTTACCTTCGCCCTACTTGCGCACCCACCAGGATAGCTGCACACACCGATGCAAGATTTGAGGGCCCCTAGGGCTCCTTTGTGAAGAGTTCCCACCCGTCTTCCTGGAGGCTCCAACTTTGGGAACCTCCTCGAGGGCACAGAGCGCCGTTTCAACCATGCAAGTACGACAACAAGTAGGCACACTGAGACTTGTCGGCATTCTGGCTCGACTAGGCATTTCAACCTTGACACACTTGCGCCTCCCTTTGTTGGCATGATGCAGCGTTACCACCTTCGCTCAGTTTCAGCTGGTCAGGTCCTTCGTCTCCTCACGGTTCAGCAGCGTAGCAGGGCAGGCACGTGCAGCCGTCGGTTGGGCATGGTGTGGATATTTCTCCTCTGAGTTCTCATTCTGGCTCATGCGGTTGTGTCGGGGGGAACACACCCAAACAAGCAAACACGGATTGCAGACAACCGATTGTGCTTGACACCTGGTCCGCTGACCGCTTCAAACGCCAAAATGTTGACCTGGCGACAGAAACACGCCATGACAAGTTGTCCATACACCGCCACACTCACACAGATCGAAACCAAATGGCACGAAGTCACCTATCCACCACTTTCTATTCTGAAAGGTCGAGCTGTTTTCTTGCAATGTCCGCTCCTTACGTCGAGCCCCTTTGACTTTCAGGAATCGCAACTCTTAAGAGGCTTTGATCTGAAGCAGGGCAAGCAAAAATGGGGCAAATGCAGTGGCAAACGCTTGGCAGTTGCGACGGCGACAAAACAAACGCACTGCTGAAACAAAACGAACACGAAGAGCGAACAAAACCTGGTAGCCCAGCAACCATATGAAAAGAAGGGCAGCCATTTTTTGGGTTGGCCAGGGAACCTTGAACCCAAAAAGGAGAAAGGGTACCACTGGGCTACAAGAAAATTCTGAGCGACGGAGCTGCCACACCAAAGGGGCCCATGACCCCGTCATAAGGTCATCATGCTGCGGGGAAAAGAAGGGGTTGTGTGAACGAGAAGTACAGTGGTGGACTTGCGATACGCGAGTGCAGTAGGAGGCAATCTGTCGGCCTCTAGGCCACCGCTTCACGACCCCGCAGAAACCTGCAGTTGATTCGCTGCGAGATCCTCTGAGAACGCGGCGGAAACCTGACGAACCCTTGGTCTGCAGCCAGAAGTGGGTGCAGAGAACAACTCTTTGCGTATAGAGTTTCGGTTGCACAAGGGATTGGGTTGAGGTGTTCGGGCCTAGGTTGAGGTGAGACCCATGGTCAGGTCGAAACACTTTCCGAGGAAGATGATGCTGCACTTCTTGTTAGCTTGCATCAGTGAGGAAGAGCTGGATGCAGGGCTTCTGTGGTGGCTTTTTTTGCATCCTCATGGCAGCCGGGGCAGGCATCAAACGAGCTGCTTTACTTTGCAAGCAGTCGGCTGACCTCTATGTGGCCCTCGACAGTTGCGCGCAGCAACGCCGTTTGGCCCTCCCTGTCCATCTCCTCCTTGTCGGCCCCAGCATCAATCAGCAAACGTACGACCTCTGCATGCCCCTCAGCCGCGGCTCGGATCAGGGCTGTTGCATCATCCTTGTCTGCCAACTCTGTATCAGCTCTGGCCTCCAAGAGCAAACGGACCAGCTCCACATGGTCTCCAAAAGATGCACGGATAAGAGCCGTATCTCCAGTGCTATCTGCCAAGTCCTTGTTTGCACCAAATTCCAAAAGCAAGCGCGCGACCTCGAGGTGGCCACGCCGGGCGGCCCGGAAGAGTGCCGAGCGGCCGTTTTCGTCCGTCGGGTCCGTGGCAGCCTTGGCCTCCAGTAAGAGACGCACAATTTCAGCGTTACCTCCATGAGATGCGCAAATGAGGGCGGTACGGCCCATAGCATCAGCCAGGTCTGTGCCCGCGTGCGCCGCCAACAGCAATTGCACGATCTCCGCATGGCCTGCATTGGCTGCACGGATTAGGGCAGTCTCGCCGCTCTCGGTCGCGAAGTCTGTGTCAGCTCCTCCCTCCAAGAGCACGCGGACCACTTCTACATGACCCTCATGGGCCGCGCGAACTAGCGCCGTGAGGTAGTTCATGTCATTGCCATCGCGAGCAGCCTCAGTAGCCATGGCTCTGTGATTTGGAGGATGGCATTCGAGGATTCCGGCAGATGAAGCATGATGGAGCTGGACCTAGGTTTCCGCAGGCAGGTGCGATGAGCAATATGGGAAAAGAGCCGAAAGAAAACAACAGCCGCGAACGGCGAATGAACACAGAAACCCAGAATCCTGGGCTGATATTCTCACTGGTATCACAGACTCGTCAACTGAAAAAGCCTCTCACAAGGCAGTGGATCCCAGACCCCAACATAGGAGCCTGACTGAACAAATGGAACAAGGTGTGGGCGTGCATTGTATATATATATATATAGATTATGTACAAAAAACTATGCGGCGAAACGGATACGCAATTGGCAGTGTACCCCTCCATAAGCCTTGCAACCTGCCGAACAGGGCCTCACGCCAAGATTCAAATTCCTTTCTGAAGACCGTGGGAACCCTTACCCTGGCACTCAAGAGGCCTCCCTTCAGAAGTCGAATCTGTTCGATCTCCAAAGCCTTTGTCTTTTCTCTCTGATTCTTCCTGATGCGGTTTAAACCTCCTTCGATGTTCGAAGAGGTTGGATTGTGAGCGCCTGCCCACTTGCTCAAGGAGCTGAGCTGCAAAATCGTCAAAATCGGCAGCCGCCCAGCATTTTACTGGCGCGGCATGACTACAGCCACGTCCGTCTCTCTTTAGATCCACATACTGAAATAGACAAAACTAAATCAATAAATATAAATATAAATATAAATATATGGGTCACCGCCTATAGCGGTTCCCCTGTGTTTTTTGCACATTCCCTTAAACCATCTAACCAAGAATCCCTCAAACCATTAAACCAATGGTCTCCCCCCTAAACCATTAAACCATTAAACCATACCATTAAACCATTAAACCAATGGTTTCCCCCTTCTGAAAATCCCCTAAACCATTAAACCATTAAACCATTAAACCATTAAACCAATGGTTTCCCCCTTATGAAAATCCCCTAAACCATTAAACCATTAAACCATTAAACCATTAAACCATTAAACCATTAAACCAATGGTTTCCCCCATATGAGAATCCCCTAAACCATTAAACCATTTTCATGGCGGGCAACCATTGGTTTAATGGTTTAATGGTTTAATGGTTTAATGGTTTAAGGATTTTCATAAGGGGGAAACCATTGGTTTAATGGTTTAATGGTTTAATGGTTTAATGGTTTAATGGTTTAATGGTTTAATGGTTTAATGGTTTAATGGTTTAATGGTTTAATAGAGTAGGGGATTCTCATAAGGGGGAAACCATTGGTTCAATGGTTTAATGGTTTATTGGTTTAATGGTTTGATGGTTTAATGGTGCTCCTGCCGAGGTACCTCGACCGCATCTCTTCTGCTCCTAAACTTCTGATTCGCAAGCAGTGTCCCCTGTATGCTTTCTGTTCCGAATATTCTGAATCGCAAGCAGTGTCTCCCGTATCTTTTCTGCTCAGAAGTATACGTATACTATATGGGATTGCGCCTTAAACCCTAATTCTTAAACTTTAACTCTATAGGGCTTAAAGCTTCGGGTTTAGGTTGAATTGCCGGCTTAGGTTTAAGTGCCTCAATCTTGAACCCTAAACCTGTCAACCTTAACCCTCTAGGGTTGGGGCGCCTACATCATGATCGGATTTGACGAGCTCTGCGGAAATTTCTATATGACAAGGTTATAACTTATTGCTGTGGTTATAACTATGGGTTAGGGTTTGATTTTTATACACTTATGTAAACCCATAAGAATAAGGGGAGCCCCATCACGCCCCCAACAAGCGAAATATCCCACATACTGTACATGACAAGGTTATAACTTTTTGCTGCGGTTATAACTATGGTTCAGGATTTGATTGATATACATGTAAATTAGCCTATAAGAAAATGAGGGTAACGGTAACCCCATCACGCCCAAAAAGCAAAACAAAACCTCTATCCTAAAATCTTTACCTTACCTAAGATAGCTCAAGCAAAACAAAAACTCTATCCTAAAATCTTTACCTTACCTAAGATAGCTCAAGCAACCATCCCCCGATAAGCAAAACTTGAATTATCCTCTTTGTTTATATTTTGAATCCCATGAAGTAGTGGAAGGACATTTGCTCACAGTATTCTCGCGTCACCGGGACGAAAGCGCTACAAACGTAGGCATAACCCTATGGGATTCAAGGTTTGGGGATTTGAGCCCCAAGCGCTCTGGGGTTTTAAGGTTCTATTGTATAGGTAATTAATGCCCAAACCTTAAACCTAAACCGTTAAACCCTATAGGGTTCAATGGTTCGACAACCTAAGGTCTGGGCGGAATGGGCTCGTTGGGGCCCTGAAACGTAGCAGGGGAAGGCCCTCAAACGTGGCGGGGAAGGGGGAGCGGTGGGCGGTGTGGGCGGTGGGGGCGGTGGGGGCGGTGGGGGCGGTGGGGGCGGGCATGCGCTGGAGCCCCTTAAAAACATCTGAAAGAAGGTAGCCAGTGGCCCTGAAACGTGGCAGGGGGAGGTGGGGGCGGAATGGGGAGGCCCTGAACATGGCAGGGGAAGGCCCTCAAACGTGGCGGAGGTGGGGGCGGAATGGGCTCGCTGGGGCCCTGAAACGTAGCAGGGGAAGGCCCTCAAACGTGGCGGGGAAGGGGGAGCGGTGGGCGGTGTGTATACCTTCAGTACCCTTTAGGGCTAAAATCTTTGAACCTTTGGGAGCCCTATAGGGTTTTACGGTTCTGACCCTAAACGAATCAGGGTTAAGGTCTGAATGCCCGAACTTCAAACACTTAAGATTGAAACTTTTCGAGTTTTCGTTTTAAATGCCTAAATCCTAAACCCCAACCCCTTAAACCTTAACTCTATAGGGTTTAAAGGTTCGGGTTTAGGTTGAATTGCCGGCTTAGGTTTAAATGCCTCAATCTTCAACCCTAAACCTGTCAACCTTAACCCTCTAGGGTTGGGGCGCCTACATCATGATCGGATTTGACGAGCTCTGCGGAAATTTCTATATGACAAGGTTATAACTTATTGCTGTGGTTATAACTATGGGTTAGGGTTTGATTTATATACATGTAAATAGCCTATAAGAAAATGAGGGTAACCCCATCGCGCCCCAATAAGCAAAACAAAACCTCTATCCTAAAATCTTTACCTTACCTAAGATAGCTCAAGCAACCATCCCCCGATAAGCAAAACCTGAATTCTATCATATAACGATATGGTTTGTTTATATTTTGAATCCCAGGAAGTAGTGAAAAGGACATTTGCTCACAGTATTCTCGCGTCACCGGGAAGAAAGCCCTACAAACGTAGGCATAGCCCTATGGGATTCAAGGTTTAGGGATCTAAGCCCCAAGCCCTATAGGGCTTTAAGGTTCTATCGTACAGGTAATGCCTAAACCTTAAACCCTAAGCCTTTAAACCCTGTAGGGTTGAATGGTTCAAGAAAACCTAAGGTCTGGGCATGTATACCTTCAGCACCCTTTAGGGTCAAAACCTTTGTTCCTTGTAGAGCCCTGTCGGGCTTTAGGGTTCTGACCCTAAACGGTTCAGGGTTAAGGTTTAACTGCCCGAACTTTCAACCCTTAAGGTTAAATCTCTATGGGTTTAGGTTTAAAGTTTAAAAATACCTAAATCTTAAACCCTAACCGCTTAACCTTAACTCTATCGGGTTGAACGGTTAGGGTTTAGGTTTCATTGCGGGCTGACGTTTAAATGCCTGAATCTTAAGCCCTAAACCTGTCAAACTTAACCCTATAGGTTTGGGGTACCTACATCATCATCGACTTGTTGCTGTGGTTATAACGATGGTTTAGGGTTAAAAAATATACATTTATGTAAACCTAAAAAAATAAGGGGAACCGCAATAGGCGGACGCCCAAATATATATATATATATAATCAAAAAAAGCAACGGCAAAACGAAAAACGCATCGACACGTGTGCTCGAGACGGAAGAGGTCACTTCAGGGGCGAAGCTTGCGTGATTGCATCTGAGAGTTTCTTCTAATTAGGGGCCTCAAGTTTACTATGAAGGGTATGAGCAAAGCACCCTCATTTTGGAAACTCTCATATCTCTTCACAGGCACCGAGCCCCCAGCCAAAACGTCCTGACTGGCATGTTTAGGAAAAAAAGATGTGACGACTGATGCTGGAGAGCTCGATCCCTGCCGTGCAAAGAGGAAAAGCAAGCTTCAGGAGGCCCGAACCGGGCCCGAAACAAGATTTTGGGGGGAAAAATTTGGGGAAGCCTCAGCCGGACAGGCAGGTCTTCTGCAAGCCTGTACGGCAAAAGCTCCACCGGAACTATAACATTTCTCTGAACACATCTCTCCTAACGGTCCTAACTAAAATCGTCATGGGGTGCTTACAATGAACACGACGAAGACGAAGCGACAAAGTCGTGGCGCAAGGCCTCCGCTGCCGTCGGCCGCTCCACGGCGGAGCGCCGCAGCAGCCAGCGCGTGAAGTCCACCGCCCCAGAACCAGCGACGCAGTCACCGGCGGGAAAAGAGAGGGGCGGCTTGTCCTCGATGATGGCCTTCTTCACGGCCGGTGCGCTGGCGCGGAGGCGATGAGGCGTGCTCGCCAGACCAAGGATATCCCTGAAGGTCGGGCGAGCTTGAGGTGCTTGAACGCATTCAGGACGGATCTCTCGAAGTACTTCTGAAGGCGAGTAGGGAAAGTTGCCGAAGAACAGCAAGTAGGCCACACAGCCGATGGACCAGACATCGGCCAAAAAGTCGTAGCCTTCGTTCTGCAGCATCTCCGGAGCCATGTAGGGGGCGGTGCCAAAGACTCCTAGGATGGCCCCCCTTAAAGACCCTCTGAAATAATGTTTCCTGAATATGATCACCCCAAAAACCCTAAACCCTAAACCCTAAACTCTAAACCCTCTGAAAACATCCCAAGGGCCTACCTAGACTCCTTTGAGCTTCCCTGTCTTGGGCATCGCGGCCGCCACGCCGTAGTCACAGAGCTTCAGGACGCTGCTCCCTGGACCTCAATACTCCCCTTTCATTATAAAAATGATATATCTTCAATATATCCTCTTTTGGGTTTGGGTTTCTATATAAACAAAAAATAATTTAAAAAATAAGAATTCCCAAGTGGGATATAGGGACCACCCCACAGGAAGTTATCAGGCTTGATGTCCCTGTGCACAATGCCGGCGCCATGGGTGTGGGAGAGCGCCAGCAGCATGTGCCGAAAGACCATGGCCAGGTCGATTTCTGTCATGGACCCCGCCGCCACGAGTCGGTCCATGAAGGAGCACTGACACTTCTCACAGACCATGTAGTACCTACTCTGCACTTGGAGCCCCGCAAGAAGTATAGTTCTTGCTGCTTCTTAGGGACTATCGTACCCAAAAAGCTAAGACTCATTTCCAAGTACCCCTATAAGGTACAAGGGCGTGGCTGCAAAGCTCTTGTGAAGCTTGACAATGTATTCACTGTCGGTGCCGCTTGCCCTCGTCCACAGATCCACCTCTGTCCGGCTCAGCCGGTCACGGTTCTTGCAGACTGCGCCACTAGAAGCACCATGTTCATCACGGTGACAAACGTCCACAATCTTCACGGCAAGCTCCTCCTGTGTGGACTTGTCAACTGCGACACAGACCTGTCCAAAGGCACCTTCTCCGAGCTTCTTCTCCACCTCAATGTTATACCGCGAGAAGAAGTGCTCTGAAGACACTGCTGGGGCACCTACTGTAGCGAGCGTGCTCCCGGAGCATCCCATGAATGATGAGTGAGAGGGGTTTTGGGAAGGCTTAGCTGCTGTAGCTGAGCAGGGCCTCGTCCCCTTCTTGGAAAACTGTCAGCCAAAATGGCTAGCAAATGATGGACTCGTTTTGCGTTGACAAGCTCAGCTCCTCGCCAGAATGTCCGACTTCTCTTGACTACCGCTGCTTTGCCTCTGCCGGTGCCTCGTTTCTTCGAAGGGTCTTCTTTCTCAACGCCAGCGGCTGAAGCTCGGGAGCCTTGGTAGCCCCCTCGGGTAGCCTTCGGGCGTTGCTGAAGACGCGAAAGCACACCGAAGTCCCGAAGATCAGCTCTTTGCCGGACTTCGGTTTGGTCTTTGGGGGGGCGCGTTTTTAGGGCTTAGGATTGACAATGGGGGGCTGGTTTCATGGCCTTCGGCGCCTTTGGCTCAGCTCAGCAGAATGATCTAGAGCTTCAGGTGCAGGATCTGCCTTTTTTGGTATGGGGTGGAGTGCCAGGATATTTCAGGTCGCGGAAGCAGCTGTGTGAGACTTGGACCATTTGACAAAGACAAGCTACAAAGAAACATCACCGTTGCTGTCAGATCTCCATGCCTCTGCTCCATGTTCCAAAACATGAGGGATGCTGGTTCAACACGCCCTGTGTTCCAGAACTGACGGAGTCTCTGCTCCATGCTCCGAACATGAGGCGTACTAGCGGGACATGCTCTGAGCTCCTAAACGGTAAATGTGCTGGTTGCAAGAACTTCTGAATCGTGAGTCCGCAGTAGCTTGCCGCAACACACCAAGTCGAGCCAAACGTCCTGCGCTGGTCAATGAGAACAGCGTTTCGGAAGCCACCACGAACTCCGTAAGCCCATGCACCTAGAGCGCGACTTCCTCAAATCTCGAATCCGGTCCGTCTTTTTGACCCGAAATGCTCTGCAAGACATCTTTGTGTCCAGGGCGCAGATCGGGAGTTGCTAAGCCCTCAGCCTAGACTCCCCTGTGAACACTCCAGCAAGCTTCAAAAGGCTTAAAACTTCCGTCGGAAGGAACTTCGACGGCGCCGGACTCGAGAACCTGAATCGTCCACAGCATCACTGGTTGACATATCTTTACTCATCTGTGCTCAGGTTTTGGGGCGCATTGCAATACCACATGAAACTCATGAGCCAAAGCAGAAGCCAAGCAGAAACTTGGGAACGAGGCTCTGCTCCAAGAAGCTTCGGTGTTCTGGGTAAATTTCTGAGTTGGGTTTACGTTGGTGGACGTTTGGCTCGCTTCGAGTGCTCAGAGGTGTATGTAGTTGAAGGCTTAAAGAACATGAACCGCCCTACAACACCACCCCACAAAGCCCTGGATTCAGCTACTGCTACATCCCTGAAACCCCAAAACCCAAAATCTGGAACCAAGTTCAGGCAGCCAAAACCCAAATCGAAACACTACGCCACCGGAGAATGTTGGCTCTTTCATATAGTGGTCTCAGAAAATAAGAGAACTCAATATGGACCCTGAAGACTAGGATCCTTGATATGAGAACACCCAAGTAAAAGATCGCAGGCGCTAGTTGTCTGTAGAATCTAGGATGGCCCGTAAGACTCTTTGAACAAAATAGTCCTGAATATGATTCCTCTTAAAGCCAATAAGGAAACATAAGATGTCCCAAGGGCCTACCTAGGAATGCTGTCGCTACATGCGATGTTTCCCTAACGGTGTGCCTCTGAAGAACAAGCCTGCGCCCACTTCGGACTCTTCTTCCGTGATGTTTGCCGTGCCATTCTGGCTGTCCTCCTCGGACCTCTTGTCTGGTTGGTTGCAGGGAATCACGGTCGCAATGCATCCGGGGGAGCTTAACGCTGGTAGCGTCTGAATAGCAGGCAAGACTTGGAATATCGCATTCAAGACAGGATGCCTTCTCTACCCTGCCATCACAGTGAGGTGCCCAGTGCCTGTGCCGCCCCGAAAGTGAACTTTTCTACTCGCATCATGCACAGGGCCGTGCTGCTGTTCGCGACCGGTGGCCGTCGTTCAACTTTGAAGATTCGGCTTATCAAGGGCCCTGTCTTGAAGGGGATGGGGCTTGGACTTTTAAATAACGGGGATCCTCATTAGAACGACTCGTGACGAGTTAGAAAAACTCACCCCAAAATTGGGCCCAGAAATCTTCAGAAGCACGCCTCGCTGCTAAATTGCGCGGGTCAGGTTTTTTAACCTGGCAGATACTTTTGAATTGCCTGAATTTTTTTGGCAGCTGCCTCATCATGTTTTTGAATTGCTTGCAGGCCCACCTGGATTTCGGTCTGGTTGGCCCCCAGTGCTCGAAATGTGGTAGTCGAGAGTTTTGCTTTTGGAAGCAGCAAAAAGCCCCCACATCAGGTCAAATCTAGAATGGCTAGAAAGAAAACATGAAAAAATGAAGCCACAACTTCGGCGACAGCCAGTGATAGAAGTAGTGGTTGCTTGAGGTTTTTTTTGGGTTGGGCGCTTCCACCTCAAGCTTCTTTTAGGTTTGGGCTCAAAGTTTCGGCTTCAGGGTTTGAGATGGGTTAAGGCTTTAGGGGTTTAGGCTGCAGAGTTTAGAGTTTCAGGGGCTAAGGCTGGACTAAGACTGCTAAGGTACGTCTGCGTCGGCACGCTGCAGCTTCCACTTTAAGAATTCTTGTTTGGGTTTGGGCTTGGGAATTAAATGGGTTTAGGGTTTCGGGCTAAGGGGGTTTAGGCTAGGGTGTAGAGTATAGGGTTTCAGGCACGAAGTTTAGGTTTTTCGACAAATCTGGAACAAATCGTAGCGGCAGTGGAGCATATCCCGCCATTTTTTCGAAGCCCCAAACACCCGATCTGCACAAGTGAGGGGTCAGGTCAGGCGCGGTCAAGTATGCGATTTGAAACCTGACTCATGTTTCTGTATGTAAGATGCATGCTGCAATCGTGCTGCCATCTTTGCTGCTATGAAGTTGAGGAGGTTCAAACCGTATGCTTTTTCCGTCGCAGGACTGTGATCTACCACAACCACAAGGGTAAGTCTTGTTGGTATGAAATGTCCTGGCAGGCAGAAGGATAGGGAGAAATGCGTGGAGAGAGCGAGAGAAGACTGAGGAAGAGAGGCAAAACAATGAAGAGAGAAACAAAACACGCGCGTGTGAACTCCGACGCATGTATGTACTGCCGCTCTTTGCATATAGTGGCGCGGGATGATGAGACTGGTGAACCAAACAGTTTAGGGCCATCCGCGTTCGCCCAAGCATAGGTGTTGACGCACACGCTTCTTCTTTGAATATTATTATGCCTCCTAAACGCGAACCTTAAACCGTATGCTACGCAGCGCGGATGTTGTTCAGCGATTTGTGGCCGGACATTGGCCATTTCTCGCGTGCAGAGTCATCAAAGTCAATATGACAGGGTGGAGCTGTTTGGACACGCGAATATGACTATTGCATGAGTTGCTTGTCAAACCTCTCTCCCCGCTTACTTTGCAACAAAAATGCGACACAGCTGCTGTTGAAGACGTCGTCGCTCTTTTATGTCGCACAAGGCAACAAGAACATGGGTCATTTTCCAAATCACTACACATTCTAGCGCCACCTGCGCCGGAAAGCAGGCAGAACAAAGAACACGAAGCGAACTTGGCTTCATTATTGAACATTGTTGAGACATCCCATCCCCATCCATCCCCTACATCCTGCGCGGTAAGCAATGACCCCGCGCAAGCGAGTTTCAGTTTTGCCCCTCCCCTGTCCCCTAAACCCTAAGCCTAAACCCTAAATTTTAAATCCTAAAACCTAGCTTATAGCCGCCCGAATGAGGCAGCAACACAAAAAACGAAAAGGCGTCCTATGAATTTTGGCGCCGCAGGCGTTACAAAATTTGTGAGGCAGCGCCATAAGATATGTATATATATATATATAAATATATGTATATATATATATATACATAGTGCATCTCCACATGAAGTTCACGTTCTGGCGCCGCAGGCGTCGCTAAAAACGGCTGCGAAAGAAAGCAACGTCATCTCCAAAGCTATGTATTCTCTGGCGCCGCAGGCGCTCCAAAATAACAACACGCGGTCATTTGCATGACTCACATGTTCTCTACCACTCCCCACACGACAACTCCCCCGGTCCCTGCCCCCCCCACCCTGCCCGCACCCCCACACGCCACCATAGCCAGATATGAGGCAGCCCGAAATACACACATGGCAGCAAAAAAATATAGCGCAGCACCAAAAAAATATAGCGCAGCACCCAAAAAATATAGCGCAGCAACAAAAAATATAGCGCAGCAAAAAAAATATAGGTCAAAAAAATTTTGACCTATATTTTAAAACCCGGGCTTTGTGCGTGGAGTTTTCGCCGAAAAGCCGCCCAAAACCATGGATTTTCAGCCAAAACACCACGCGCAAATGAGGCCGATTCGCGTGGTGTTTTGGCTGAAAATCCATGGTTTTGGGCGGTTTTTCGGCGAAAACTCCACGCACAAAGCCCGGGTTTTAAAATATAGGTCAAAATGTTTTTGACCTATATTTTTTTTGCTGCGCTATATTTTTTGTTGCTGCGCTATATTTTTTGGCGCTGCGCTATATTTTTTTGGTGCTGCGCTATATTTTTTTGGTGCTGCGCTATATTTTTTTTGCTGCCATGTGTGTATTTCGGGCTGCCTCATATCTGGCTATGGTGGCGTGTGGGGGTGCGGGCAGGGTGGGGGGGGCAGGGGGGGGGGGGGGGGGGGGGGGGGGGGGAATGGTCGTGTGGGGAGTGGTAGAGAACATGTGAGTCATGCAAATGACCGCGTGTTGTTATTTTGGAGCGCCTGCGGCGCCAGAGAATACATAGCTTTGGAGATGACGTTGCTTTCTTTCGCAGCCATTTTTAGCGACGCCTGCGGCGCCAGAACATGAACTTCATGTGGAAATGAACTATATCTTATTGCGCTGCCTCACAAATTTTGTGGCGCCTGCGGCGCCAAAATTCCTTTTCGTTTTTTTGTTTTGCTGCCTCATTTTGGCGGCTACATGCTAGGGTTTAGGGTTTAAAGTTTAGGGTTTAGATTTAGGGTTTAGGGCAAAAACTGAAATTTGCTTGCACGCGTTGCTGGGTCATTGCTTACGCAGCGGTTGTAGGGGATGGTTGGGGATGGGATTTCTCAATCGTGTTCAATAGTGTGAAGCCAAGTTCGCTTCGTGTTCTTTGTCTCCAACACAAAACGCACGACATAAAAGCGCGTCGGCTTCAACAGCAGCTGCGTTGCATGTTTGTTGGCCATCCCTACTGCCTCACAAGAACGCCAGCCCGCTCCCCTCATGTATATATCCCAGCGCAGTACTTGATTACTAGGTTTACATAAGGGCTATAGATAGAGTAGATTAGCCAAAAGTAAGCGGGGAGCGAGGTTTGAAAAGAAAAAGCTGTTAATTAGTGATATTTGTGTGTCCAAACAGCGTTCGCCTTTGCACGCAAGAAATGGCCAATGTCTAGCCAAAAACCGCGGAACAAAACATCTGCGCCGCGTGTTCTGGAGCTGCGGACTGAAGCATAAGGTTTAAGGTTCGCGTTTAGGGTGTTACCTGGACCTGCAAAGCGCCAACGTTTGGGTGCGTAACCATAAGAAATGAAAAGAAGAAGCGGCGGGCATCAAACCTTATGCTTCTGGGCGAACACGGATGTGAAGATCTTTTAAGCCCTAAGCCACTTGGGCTTCATCATCCCGGCCCACTAAGACAAGAACAGCAACACATGCACGCACACGCCGGAATGTGGTCATCATGATCGTGATCATGATCATGTTCACCCTCATCACATTTCTCTCTCTCTTTCTCTGACTTTCCGTTCTTTCCTTCTTGCTCAGGGCTTGGAAGTCAGGGTTGCTCCCTCCGCGCGAGCCCTGGTTCAAGCAGGTAAGGCTGTACGTCGGTTCTGTTGCGTGCACACCGTTCTCTCCTCAAAGTTCTTCCCAGCCTCATTCCTTATACGGTCGCTCCATGCCTTTCTCCCCGTCCCCTTATTACTCGTTTGCCTGCCAAACATACAACGTCCTGCCAGGGAGCAGCGCATAAATTCAACCAAATCAGCCTCATATAGCAGCAAGGCATGCATGTTGGGAGTTCACAAACACATGAGTCAGGTTTCAAGTCGCACACCTCTTGACCCCCAGGCTAACCCGAGCTGGCCAACAAATACAACACATTGAGGCATCCCTGCAGGAGGACTAGCTCGCCCGGCTTTTCAGAAGCTCTCAACTTGAACCCATAGACCAGCAGGCAGGGAGTAACTGGTGGCGTGGAAAAATCCTTTTCAGTAACACAACTTCAGATGTGTGTGCGCGGCATCAGGGACAATTGCAAACGTATGGGAGCTTGCCGAAAAATCTGATGCATTTTAAAACCTAGCCGTAGAGAGTAGTACTAGACTAGCTAAAGTAGATAGTAGTAGACAGTCCGGTTTCAGTGATCAGGAACAAGTTTGATAAGTTTGTTCTCCACTAAAACACCCTCAGATCACTCAAATTTGTGTGGATGACTACAGACCCCCAAAAACACACATGTTGGAACAGCAAAAAAATATAAGGCAATTTAAAACCGAACCCGAACGACCGGCGCAATTTAGCACGCCTCGCCCTTCCCCCCCAATGCGGCTGCAGGTGCGTCAGTCCAAAAAGGACCGCGAAACCTTGGAGGCCAAGCAACTTTAGGGTTTGACTTCACTGAGATAGGGCTTTAGGGGCGCAAGGGGTTTTGTTGGAGGCGGGCAGGCGCGCTGATCCCCGGTCTTCAAACGCAAATGTGTTTCATCAGAATTTGTGTGCATGGCCCCTTGAACCCGACACCAGGGTTGAGTTCAGTCAGCCCTGAGATCAAAGCTGCAGGCAAACTTTTGGAAAGCAAGGCAAGTCAGGTGGTCATATACACCATGGGGAAGACATGCCACACAAAGGCCATCAAATCGGAATTCCCAACGCCGAGCAGGTGAGCTTCGTCAGACCCAATGCACATGTCTGTTCCTGTTCGCCGGGATTAGCCCTGGCAGGATTGACACTGGAAGTAGTCGCAAACGTATGTAATCGGCGGGCTTGTGCTGAAGTGTCAGGGAATGTAAGGGACATTCCTCAAGAAAGTGGTATTGGGCAACTTTGGTACCCTGAACCCTAAACCCCAAACCCTATAAACCCGAAACCCTATACCCTAAACCCTGAACCCGAAACCCTAAACCCTGAACCCTACACCCTAAATAAATCCTCCTGGCTCATCAATGAGGAGCCTTCCGCCGCCATTGAGCTTCCTGTGCGAAGCGGGTGTGGGACCTGCAAGCTCGTCCCACAACCAGTCCCACAGTCAGGGCCCATGATATTGTTCGCATACTCATCTTCATATACATGGAGAGATATATATATATATATCGATAGATAGATAAATCCATGGATGGATGGACATTTATGTATATATATATATAAGAGATAGATATGTACAGAGTTCGGACACAAGTAATGAAGTATGTAGCTGATTCGATATACACGTGTATGCAGGTTGTGTGTCGCAACATGTCTAGGCAGGCCAGTTCGGCTTGTGAATATCGGGTTGGAGGTTCAAGGTGTGTGCGTGTGAGAGAGAGAGAGAGAACGATGTTTGCCACCCACCTAACAGACTAGACGCCACACCGCAGGGAACAAGACACGTTGCTGTCGAGAAGACCAACTTTCTGCTTCCCTCCGACACCATTGGAATCCGAAGCACCCATCAACCTGCCGATCACCAGCCCCTTCTGCAAGGGAGCATCCCGGTTCCGGGGGCTTTTTGGGAGGCCGTTTCAGGGGTTCTCAGAGTGCTTCAGGGTCTGAAGGCCCAAGGGGCAAGGCAGGTGTGCCCATCCAGGGGCTGCTCCCCAGTTGCGATGTAGTTCAAGATGCGCGATGTACCTCTTGCTTTGGGGGCTGCTCATGGTGCTCTTCGAAGGCTCTTCGGCTCCAGTCTTTCAGTTTGCGGTAAGCTACTTAATGAAATCAGCCGTGACTGAACCGGGATCGGTGACCTTGGGATTCGGGGCCAAAGCTTCGCGACTGCGCGGTTGGGGAGTTTTGGCAAACGGGGCTTGTCGGCTTCGCACAGGAGAATGGAGCCATGCTCACGGAGACCAATGCGCTTGTTGAGATTCGGAGGCCGCGCCAACCATGTCCAGATCAAAGCGTTGGAGCCCCAAGCTGCTAAAAAAAAATGCGGACCGAGCGGCAAGCATAAAGCGCCATTTTGTTTGAGTAGGTCGAGAGATGGTGGCTGGCCACGTCCTCCCGAAGATAGTGGGGCTAAGCCCTTTGCACATCTGCATCTGCTACCCTAAGCCCATCCCCGAACCCTCGACGCCTTCTTGTAGGAGTCGTAGAGTTCCTTACCTCGGATCCGGGGTGACCGGGGCACCCCTGATAGCTCCAAACCGTCCCAAAGCACAAAGCAACACGTCTCGCCCAAAAGGAAATAGAAGCGTGATCAGCACCGGCCTAAATCCTGAACCCTCAGCCCGAATATCGCGGCATTATTTGTTAGACTAGGGATTAAGGAAGGATAGGATCAGTCACTATTCAGGCTTCATGTTCAAAACGAAAATCGAGCGGCCGAGTCCAGCCAGGTTCGACTTGTCGAGGCAGTGGCCGTAGCCTCTGCGCGGTTTAGGGTTTAGGGTTTAGGGAGTAGGCTCCTTGTGGTTCGTGGGGTGTTGGGGTCGAGAACAGAGAGCTTCCACAGCGCTGGAATGCTAAACAGCTGATATCCCAGGAAGATCAGATCGCAAGACATAGAAAAGCTCCGCGTTCAACTCAACCTGAGACCAGCGCCTGGCACCTTACACCTCTAATAAGCGTGAAATGCCACAAACCAGCATTCTGCAAGAAACCGTGGTTATTGAAACTGTTGAGAACCCGAAGCCACAGACGGGAACACAAAAGGACCCCTAGGGCACCTTGGTAGGTCACGAGATGACCCCGGGGAAAGGCGCTGCGGGCTAGCTGAGCACTCGTGTACGCCTTGGCTGATGCTTCGGCACAATCCTTCGGTTCAGGGGCTTATTTCGTACTGCTAAATCTCAGGTTTTTAAAGCAGCAGCATGCTATACTGGCTATACTTGCCGGAGCTGAGGGGCAGTGTTCGGATCATGCAGGTTGCCAATGATCACAGGACGCACCTGGTCATTGCCGAGAGGTGGAACAGGCCGTGCATCGGCAGGCCACGTGCTAATGCCCACCACCCAGGTTAACGCCCATGGGGTGCCGATGGGTTGCTTCGCCATGGACTCCTGTTTGCTTTTTTGGGGACGGCGTTTTTGGGATTTTGTGTTTTTGCCTGGGCGAATCCGCATCGCAGGGCGATTTCGTTTAGGGTTTAGGGTCTAGGGTTTAGGGGTTTAGGGTTTATAGGGTGTGCATCGTTGGTACTTTGTCTGGTCCTTCCACCACTGGATCATGGCTTCCTCGTTCAACCTGCCAGCAGTGTCGGTGCCCATCACCATGGCCTGCATTCCGAAGTGAAAGATATCCTCGGAGAGCGTGATGGGCGCGTCGTCCGTCTGTACCTTGGCTGACTTCTGATCCCCTACTGAAGTTAAACTTTTGGCCTCCCCCTCGTAGGTACTGCATTAATGCAGACGCCCAAAACGTCAACGTCGAAAAAACAGCCGACCAGAAGAGAGCCAGTGAACAAGGCTCTCAAGCAAAGACGGGCAGTTGTCCGAGTCCACTCCGGACCAGTACTTCTCAACACATGCCAAGAACAAGGCAGCCACAGCTTCGATTTTCGCGTCCCCGCCCTCTTGAAAGAGGGCCTGGTTTGCAAGTAAGTAGAGGAGCGCGGCTCGCAAGGGCTGGCTTCTGTCTTGAATCATTCGAAGCGCCTTCGTTTCGGACAGCGGCGCAGCAGGACAGATCTCGTCCTTGCTTACGTTCAGCTCAATGGTCTGGTCGCATGCTTTGACGATGCCATTGAAGGTTGCTGTGATGCCCTTCGCAAAGAGGTCACCTGGCGGCCCAACGCTGCCCAGAAGACTCCCTCTTATCGACCCCTGCATATGTATATATATGTATAATACAATATACAGTGTACAGTATATATATATATATGTATATATACACATAAATAATGTATATATGTATATATATATATATGTGTGTATGTATATATGTACATGTATAAGGATGTGTCTTTTTCTAGCTCTCGGCAGTCGTCTCTGGTACTCGTTTCTGCTGGTAACATGGCTTCTGACGACGGCGATGAAAAGGATGCCGGTGAAATTATGATGGTGATGCTTTGTTTGCCAATGATATTTGGGGAGGAGCATGTGCATAACTATGCCGACACCTGTTGAGGGCTTGGTGCGAAACTGGAAAGACCATGATGCCGAGCAACTCCATTGATCGGGCAGTCAGGCCTAACGGGCTTAACACATACGTTGGGACAGTGGCTGCCCGCCGGTGCCATCAGGCTGCAAGCTGCTGCACGCCCACAAAGTAGAGCACCCATCGTTTCCACTGGCACAGGACTGCTTTTCGAGGTTCGGTCCGGTACCGTGGCAAGCAAACTCTGGGTGGGGTTTTGAGAGTTTCGGGTTTCGGGTGTAGGGCGTCACGCCGCGCAGCGGCAGGAATACTGGATGGAAATGGCGCCCCAACACACCCAAGGGTGTGGAGGGGCGGCATCTCACGCAAACGCACATGCTTCCAATGCAGTCCAACAATCTTCATTGGTGCTAGGTTTCCTTTTACCCCTGCTGTGACCTGTCACAGGACACCACCCAAACCACGGCCTTTTAGGGTTTGGTGCCTCACTTCCCGCCACAAGAGGACACTCTGGCGCCAAAACTCCGACCTCATCATGGGCTAAGAGTGAAACCAAATCCGCCGGAGCCTCGGGCAGTAGGTGTGTCTGAATGGCATGTCACGCCAAGTACCCCCACCTAGACCAACGGCACCCCTTTATTTGGCAATTCTTTGCCTGGAATGAGAACCCCCTCCGTAGCCGACAGATGTCCGTGAGCGCGACAGATGTCCGGGAGCGGACAGTGCATGAAGTCCAGGGGGCACATTTACCGGCCATATATGGGGGCGGACGGGTGGAAGGGTTGCTTGCTTGCTTCCTTGCGCTGGCTAGTTGCAAAAAGAGGGTGGATAGTGATCATAAACAGAAACGACAAACCGCACACCAAAACTACCACTTCCTTGCCCCACCTCTTTGCTCAACGTCGGGAAAAGGGTCCACCACGCCGTCCAAAATGAGGTGCTGCGTGCTCTCCGGGAAGACAGTCCCATAGACTCCAGCAACGGAAGTGCCTGAGAAAGGGGGGAAGATCGGTCTAGGGTTAAGAATCTGAGCGTATCGGCAATCAAGGGGAACTTCGTGATGAGAAGTGGGTTTTGCATATTTCAGGAACCTATAAGGAGCCCAACCCTAAACCCTAAACCCTCCTAAACCCTAAACCCTAAACCCTAAACCCTAAACCCTAAACCCTAAACCAACTCATTCTTTAAACTTCTTTGTTAAAGGCGGACCAAAGGTGCCGTAGGACATGCCATAGATGGACAGCTTTGGTGCTCCCACCGCGCGGCGGAATTGGTCGATGTCCTGGACCAAGTCCATCGTGCCGCCGAATTGCAGCGCATTGTATTCCTTGACCCAGCTTAATGCTGCTGTTCTTGGGGCCTCTTTTGAAAAATGTGAAGATTAAGATTCTTGCTCCTTACGAAAGTTGACATTGCAAGAACAAAAAGGTTTTCAAGAGCGGCCTCCAAGGTTGATGCAAAATCTTCTCCAGCCCCTAAATGGCCCTAAAACACCAGAGCCCAGCATACACACGGCAATATACCCCACGCAAGCCCCAACAACAACGACCCTAAACCCTAAACCCTAAACCCTAAACCCCAAAAAGAGCGCGCCGAAGTCCATGGCTGGGTACGCGTCCGCTGGGTGACTGCAGCTTGAATCCTCATGCCATGCCGGGCGCATGAAAATGAAGGAGGGCCACTATTCACTAGGAGGGGCCCCTTCTTTTCAAGGGGAACTCCCGCCCGGTGCTTTACAAGGTGGGTCCTCGGATCCAGGTTCCCGTTGTTTAGGAACTTATGCGGGTCTATGCCGGGGGTCCTCTCTCTTCTGAAGCTCCCTAATATCGATTCCTTGAGGCCCCTAAACCCTAAACCCTAAGCCCTAAGCCCTAAGCCCCAAACCCTAAACCCTAAGCCCTAAGCCCTAAACCCTAAAGCCTAAACTAAACCAAGACAAAGGCTGCTTCGAAAAAGCCCCCAAGACTCGTGCAGCTTCGTAGCAGTAGCTGAACTCCAACTTCATCAGCCGGTAATACCATCGGACCAGGGTCTCGTTGTAGGCCATGATGCCTTATTGAAGGGTCTAGGGTTTAGCGTTTAGGGGTAGGTTACAAGGGGTGTGTGTAGCCCAAAACCCTATAAAAGCCTCAACCAAGAAAAATCCCTGTGTGTGTGGGTCTTTGGGTTGAAGCCTCCTGCCGTGTAGCTACGGGGGTGGGCCGACGCTTATTTTGAATACGCCCGACAGACAAGAGAAAGACTGCTCTACCATAGTAGTTCGTAGAGCATCGTAGAACCGAAACAGGGACACATATCATACTTCCAGGGCAAATAGATGTGTGAACTCTCAAAACATTTATGAGCTTATCAGAACTAAACATCTACAAGTTCGGCATCGGAGAACGAAGGATAGACACGCGCTCCACGTTCGTAATCTGGGCCTCGCATGAACCCATCCAGGATTTGGGGGTTTGGGGGTTTCGAAAACTTCTTGACAATTCTGCCATGTTGCCAGATTCAGTCTGTGTCATGTCTGGCGTCCGCAAGATTTTCACGATATACTCCATGCTCTGGTTGACGATTCGCTCCGATGTGTCGTTGTTGCCGCCCATGATCAGCTCGACAAACTTAGCTTGGGACTCGCAGCTGTCAAGGGTTGCATCCTATTGGGCTCTTTGGGAAATCCCACACCCCTACAATCCTATGAAGCCCTCGTGCGGCTGTACCGTGTAGAGAGGCCGGGAAATCCAACCAAGCATTTCTCTTCGCAACTGAGGGGCCGTCCTGTCCTCCACCTGCCGATCATTGGAGCAGCGCTTTCGAGTTTAGGATCTATAGAGGCTTTCGGTTTAGGGTTTAGGGTTTAGGGGTTCAGGTCTCGGGGTTTCGGCCTTGGGGGGAGAATGATGCAGCGCTTCGTAGGGATACTTTGTGAAGCTTCCCCAGCTAGAATAACTAGAATGTAGCTGCGATGTGACAATCGGCTGTCCTGGTTGATGTCGTGAAACCCAAACCCCACTTCGAGAGGTCTGGGAATCGTACGGATCCTTAAGCCTCCAGTCACTCTCCAAACCGACTTCGCGAAGTTCGTAGCATCCAGGCCCCAAACAGCTCCGAAGGTTTTGTGTCTCCGAGGGGGGGAGATCCCGTTTTCCACGAAGAAATGGAAACAGCTTGTTTTTTTGCTCCAGCCAATCAATCAAAGCAGTCGCAGAAGTGAATTTCCCCCCTGCAATCTGAGCAACATGGCCATAAACATGAATTCTCCGACCCCTCGCCCGAAACCCTAAAGCAGTCAACTTCCGGCACCCTCAACCCCATGAACAAGAGACCCGTGACAGTGACAGCTCCAAACCCGAAGACGAGCCTCGCTGAAGTACGGGTTTGTGAGAATCTCATTGCATTTGATTTCCGGAAATGGCAGGATGTCCCCGCCGGAGGCATACCTTTCAGGCACTCTGGCAATCTAGGGAAGATTCAAAAACGCAAACGCTGAAGCATCCTTTTTGAGCCCCTAACCGGTGGCGGAGGTGTTTTTTTTTTTTCAACGTTGGCCCTGGCTGGTTGGCCTTGCTAACGTTGGCCCTGCCATTCCTGGCTTTAAATGCTATGAAATGCAGCATTTTTGGTTGCTTGTAAGCCCAAAACGCTCAAAAACACAGCGTTTCTGGGTATTCCAAAGCTCGGAATGCTGTAGGTTGCAGCACTTGTGACTTTTGTAGGCTCTAATTGCTGAAAAATGCAGCATTTCTGTGTTGTTCTAGTATTGTAGTTGGTGTATGTTCTAGTGTATTCTTGCACATTATTCAATATGCTTGAATATTGTTGAATATTCTTGAAAATTCTTGAGTCTTTTCTTGTTTTTATTGATGTACCTGTTTTGGACATCATGATAATGGTATAGTTACTATGTAGTATAATATAAGAATCTATATATATATATGTCTATATAAACATGGTATAATGAAATAAAATAATATTATAATATTAATATGTAACATCATATAATTTATTATAAGATAATATATAATATAGTATCATATAATGTAATATAGTATAATATAAAAATAATATATATATAATATATAATTATAATAATATTATAATACATGATATATAATATATATATATAATATATAATATACATAATATATAATATACCATATATAAGATAATACAAGAAAATATAATATATTATAATTTGATGCAATAATATATTGCAATAACATATTGCAACAAAATAAAATATGATATGATAAAATATATTTGAATACAAATATAAACATAAATATACATATAATCTAGCTCAATGCAATATAATATAATATAATATAGTACCATATAGCATAATAGAATTTTAATGTCATATGATATAATATAAGATAAGATAACAGAATACAATTTTATATAATATAATATCGTATAATATCATACAATATGATAAAATTTCATAACGCATGTGTATGTATGTATGTGTATATATATAAAGTCCGATAGTCCAATTCATAGTACACAACACATATTTATATTGTTCTTTTGGAGCCGGGCAAGCTTGCTTCAAAGTGTATGAAACCCTTCCAAACCCATGATGCGAGCATTGTGTTTGCAAATGGGGGGGGGGGGGGGGGGGGCTGCGCCCCCCCCAACCCCCCGCTGTTCTTGCTTCAAAGCACATGAATCCCTTCCAAACCCATGATGCCAGCATTGTCTTCGCAAAATATACATTACGACACAATAAGATACAAAACGATGCAATAATACACAACTATATACAACAAAATGCACTTAGAGACAAGAATATACAGTAGCATACTTTTACATAAAAAGAAGTACTTACAATAATCTCCAGTAATTTACCATAATTCAATAAAAAAAAACAACAATATACAAAACATACAATACTGTACAGTAACATACAATGGCCTACAATAATATACCAATAATATACAATAATGTACAACCATATGAAGTAACCTACAAATAATGCACAATCATATGCAATAATTAGGAATAATATACAATAATATAGAATCATATAGAGTAATGTATAACAATAGACAATTTTCAAAAACAACACACAATAATATGCAGTAATACAAGAATAGTAAAATAGACAATAATATCCAACAATATACAACAATATGCAATTTATATACAATAAGATGCAAGATAGTATAAAACAATACACTGGTGTTCAAGAACGCCAGAATACACAATAATATACAATAATATACACTTATATACAATAATATGTAAAATGCCCTAAGCGGCATCAACGAGGGGTGTTGACCTTTGTATAGTCTTTTGATTCCTCTTTAATGGAGCTGAAGAGTTGAGCCGCCGCTCGACATCGGCCCAAGGGTCGGTTGCGGTGATTTCTCCCTTGAGCATGGACAAGTAGTCTTAGACACGTCCATTGCAGACAATGCACGAGCAGTCACATGTGACACCATTCTGTAAAGCCTTTGAGCAGAGACTCTTTGACATGTGCTTTTGTGTAAAAGGGACATCCGAGGGATTCATGTCGTGCCATTTTTCTTGCCGGGCGTAAGCTCAGATTGAAGCTGGGATATGGGCAACCCAAATCTACATGATGTCCCCGATCGAGATGATCTACATAATATACAATAATATACAATAATATACAATAATATACAATAATATACAATCATATACAATAATATACAATAACATACAATAATATACAATAATATATAACAAGATACAGATTTTCTGACAATAGAATACGATAATATACAGTTATACACAAGTATATCAAAAAACATAGATTGCTAAACAAGAATAGACCAGAGCATACAATAGTCTACAATAGTATGCAATAATTTCCGGTACTCTACATGTAAAGCAGTAGATTGTTAAACAATAATGGACCAGAATATACAAGAATAAATGGTATGCATTACTCAAATATGTTCAAAAAGATACCAGCAGAAACAAAAATATACGACAGCACACAATAAGATACAATAATGCACAATAATACTGAATATTATTCAATAATATTCAATATGATTAATAATATTCAAGAATTTGAATTCAATAGTATTCAATAATATTCAATAATATTCTTGAAGACCAGAGGACGAGAGGACCACGGGACCAGAGCACCAGCAGACCGTAGGACCAGAGGACCAAGGGACCAGGCCAGAGGACCAGAAGACCAAGCGAGCAGAGGGCCAGAGGACCAGGGGACCAGAGGATGAGGGGACCAGAGGACCAGGGGACCAGAAGGCCTGGGGCCAACGTTACCAAGGCCACCAAGCCAGGGCCAACGTTAGGAAAAAAAAACACCGGGCCCCTAACCGGTAGGGACCCATAACCCTTAATCACCTTAATCCAGAACCTCTTTCTATTTCAAACTCTGAAGCCCGAGACCAAAAATGCCCCAGGATTGTGTGCTGTGTCGCGAGAAACGATCTGGAAGAACTTCTATGCCGGGGATCCACACTCCGTAGAAAGGATCATTGAAAACTTGGAGGAGGTCCTCGGGGATTATAGTATAGCATCGTTCAGAAACTTAGATGCAGGACTCGACAAGCTTGACTTAGTCCGTAATTTGAGATACGCTGAGTTTTGAGGGGGGCATGAGGCTCACCAGCTTAGACCTTCTGTGCCAAACTGAGCTGCGAGCAAAAGCCTCAAAAAGAAGGTCTCTCTCATCCTTTTTGAGTGACAGGTATTGTTTTGGGTTTAGGGTTTTAGGGTTTAGGGGGTTAGGGGTTTAGGGTACCCGGCATCTGCGACCTGCCCTTTGCCTGATATGGCCGGCCGAATATAGCCTTCCGCAAGATGCTCTTTCCCCGACGGAATATAGGGGTAATTAGAACAGGGTTTCGGGCGTCTTTCTAGTATATTAGATAGGGACCATAAGGGAATACCTTTAGCGACTATTCCGACCCCTATATTTGTAAGTGTAAGGCTGAAGGGCTTTGCTTCCAAGAAAACTTCTTAGTTCTTTAGGTTACTTGTAGGGCTGGTGGAGGAGTTGCAGAAGAGACCTTTCATCTACACCGCAAATCCCACGATCAACGTAGGTCTCTTGGGGTTTTGGGGCTTGTGGAGCTTTAAGGGTCCACAAAGTTTACAAAGCTTACAACTCACGAGCCCTCTAACGAAGCCAAGGCGCTTGAAAGGGCACGAGGGGGTGTCATTCACCTCTTCTCCTGACTCCGCTTGGGTCATGCCGAGGACTGTGTGGGGCCCAGGACGGTTGGGAGAGTTGAGAGTTGAGCGTCCGAGAACGAAACGTTGCCTAAACTCTAGAAGCTTGATGAAGCCCGAAAGCCCAGAGCCAAAGCCCCTCCCTGAGCCTAAGAGCAGCAGGATTTACTGGAATCTTAGGGCGGAGGAGCGGTTCTTAGAGCCTGTGTCTCAGATCAAGGTGACAATGGCTCGTCTTGGAAAGGCTTCTTCGAAACTGGGTTCCCTTACTTCAGGGGTTTTTCTTTTTTTGCTTACCCGGAAACCCTAAACCCAAGAGTTGCAGAGGGTTCCTATTTTTGAGGAGCCTTTTTTTCAAGGATCCAACTGTTTAGACTTATGGGTGTTGATCTGCGTCTACGATGCCCAATGTAGGGGGGTCTTACAGTATGTAATTCGATGAGACCCTGAAGAAGAATATTGGAACTCTTTATTCTTTACAGTAACACACGCATTAATTTTGCTCTAAAATCCGCCAAGGTGTCGGGCCGTAGGTGTCTTGGTAGCATTAAGCAGGCACCCCCACCCAAAATCCCTCCCCGCCCCTCCCGGCACCGACATGAAGGCCCGCCATCTCACCTCTGTGCGGAACCCCCGCCCGGCTTGTTTTTCTTGCTTTACCTCTCACTTTTGGTCTATGCGTGATACAACAGGATCCCCAAAGGAAAATGATTCCACGACGCCTCTCAAAGCCCTGAACCCTAACAGCACCTTCACACCTGTAGTTGGGGTTGCCTCGCCGCTGGGCAGGCCCAGACCGAGGCGGGTCGCGCAGCGCTAAAACATTAGCCCGGAACGACTCAGTTGCCGATTCAGCTACAAAGTCATGGTCCTCACTGAAGACATGCAACCCATATGCAAAGACTCTCTCGGAGAGAAGAAACCGCGAAGAGGCTTCTTGACTCTCAAGCATCCTCATTCTTCGCACCTTTATGTGCACGATGCGCTGCGCAAGATGCTTGTCATCTTTAGGGTTTCTCCTCCCCAAACTTGAAACCCTGAAAAGCTCCTCCCCCTCCCCCCCCCACCAAGGCCACAAAGCCCCCTTCGACTCCAAATCCAGGCGAAGGCTCCCAAGCCCACCCCTCGCTGGCTGATGGACCAGACGTCGAAGTCGGCGCTCAGCGTGCTGGCGCTCCCTGCTCAAGCCGGCGGGGAACTTCTTTGGAGGGTCAGAGGATCCGAATCCCATAATATCCTACATATGAGAAATGCCACTGACAACAGCAGTTTTTTCTATTTCAGCCGGGATCCAAAACTTAGGCTACAAAATGCCTTTCTAACCTTTTCCGACCGAAGAGCATGGACATCTACTTCAGGCATTCAAGGTCGCAAGGCACTTTCTGAAACCCCGAAAGAGCAAGTCGTGCTTTCGTGCTTTCCCCCTCCGCTTCAGGAGCCCGCAAAAAATCGAGAGCTTTCAGGGAAATGATTCCCTAACCCTAAACCCTAAACACGATTCAGGTCTTCAGGGTGAATTCGCAGTTCGCACTTTGGGAATTAGGGCTTCGGAGCTTCTGAATGTGAAGGTGAGCAGTGAACAGTTACTTGAGGTCCTTGATTGATTGCAGAATCTGAGGTTTCGTTTGGGGCCGCAGAATTCGGGGTCGACTTTTTCCCTCGTACTTCTGCATCCTACGACAGGGCCTCTTTGGCTACAGTGCTTCGGCCCAAAGATCGCAACCCGACTGCCCAGGAGGCTTGCAGGTGGCCCTATAACCCGAAACCCTACACGGCCCTACACTTCCTAGGCAGTTGGGTTGACGGCTTCGTAGCTTTGGATGATTGGCTCTTCGATGCAAAGGTCTCTTCGGATTCTGCCTTTGAGACTTTGGGCCCTCTGCTGGTGCCACTGGCGACGCCTTACGGGCTTGCTTTCCAGCACAAAAAGCGAGGTCCCCTAAAGCCGCCGCATGCCTTCGCCATTGATATCCATGGGAACGTTCAATAGGCAGTTGTTGTCGCTGCCTTGACCAGGCTCCAGTTGTTAAGTGCTCAAGGGTCTCGGGTCTAGGTTTAGTGTTCGTATCTTGTCATATCGCGTCACCTGTCTTTCTGCAAGCCTGCACGAAACGTATGCGGCAAGCCTGCTGAAGCTTATCTCAGGGCATAGCTCTCTAGCAAACCCAATGCTGTGTGCAAGCTGAACCAACTTTAAGATTAACAGATTGACACCCTAATCAAGAATCTTGTGAGCACCGATTCAAAACCAATTCTGAAAGTCCATAACGTTGCTTTGAGAAAAACCCTGACCCGACATGTGATCCTAGACCTCAGACCCTGAAGCCGTCACCATAAAAAATACGGAACCCGGAGTATCCACCCGAGTGGCCGGATCCTTACTGCTATAGGGACCCCCGCATTTGGCACTAAAGGCCCTTATAAGCTCTAAACCGACGAATGGGAATTTCAGACAACGCGCCCTTAAATTTAGGAGAAGAAAAAACGGATCCCACTATTTTGTCCCACATAACTGAAAAGCCTCAACCCCAAAAGACCCTCATCCGGGCCCTCTGTCCCCAGCAACGCCAAACCCTCAACCGACAAAGGGTGGGCCTGGGCCGCCACAGTGGCCCAGGAGCAGCCCATGCTTGGCAGGCTGGTTCATGGCTGGGATGCCTTTCACCTGAAAGGGGGTCTGCACAAGGGTGGTACTAAGGCTTTTGCGGCTTTGTCAGGGTTCCCATGAAGGTTTTTGTAAGGACTGTATGGGTTTTGGGGTTTAGGGTGAAGGGTTTCAAGTTTGGGCTCGGGGGCTGTTAAGGCGTGTCGTGCTGGTCAATGACATCCATGGGTGTCGTGTGACCTGGTCAATTGCATTCATGGGTGTCGTGTGGTCCTGTTCAATGACATTCATTATTGACTCTAAGGCACGACTCAGACTTCCAACCATTTGAGCAAGATTCTAGGCATATGCCCATAGCCTGTACTTCTACATACATGGTCCTCAAAAGATTTACTAAGTGCTCGCCACACATGCATATTTGAAACAAGGCTTGTGGCCGAGGCACACGCAAGCAAACGTATGGAACCGCCTCATAGGGAGACATGTCCGGGTCATGCACCAGTGGCCTGAGTGCTCTTTTCCGGAAATACAGGGTGCCACTGTAAACTCTCAAAACAAGGACCTACTGTATCGAACTAAGCCAGCGGCGTCTTCAGCCAACCCACAGCAACTTGTTGCCCAGCAGGAGCATATACTGACCACGGCAAGCAGGCATCAGAATCCAAACCTAAAACCCAGCCTCTGACACCTAAAGAACGCGTACCTAGACCCTAATACCTTTTGCAAACCCCTAAAGCCCAATACTCGTACCTAAACAAAACCCTGAACCCTGCCTGCACTGAGCAAGCGCTTCGCTGCTACACCCTCAGCCCAGCCTACTGTAATATAGGGGCCCGAATAACTAGAATAGAGCTATAGCAAATGGGGAGATCGGAGATGTCTTGTTCGTGGAAAGTGAAATAAGCGCGATTTGGACACTTAGTGAAACAATTTAGTTGCACATAATTGTTGCTGCTTGGCATGGCGTGTGCATTTTGTGACTTTCTGTCGCGGTAGTTCCCCAAGAACAAGCTCAATCTTAGTCTTGTTGTCATATTGCGGATGCCACTCGCTGTTGCATGGCCCATACTGTTCCAGGTCTGAAACGGAGAGAGCTGTGCCTTTAAAGTTTAGCAGAAAAAGTGTGCCCAGCAGCTCCACCCAAGCCTCAACAAAGATGCGGCCCACAAAGAATGGGCAGAAATAAAGACGATGGATGAATGACACTTAGCTCATCTCGCCGCTGGACATCAGATCTCTTGCAACGACACTTAGGCTCTGCAACACATGCTCTCTACTGCTTGTTGTTACTCTCAGAGTGCGATATAAGAATTCTTTATACGGGCTGCACAAAAGGCCGCCGAGTTCACGGAACCTAAACCCTAAACCCTAAACCCTAAACCCTAAACCCTTGGAGTCCTGAGTCCTCCAACCACGTATCCCAGATCAGGATCTCGGGGTCTGGATCCGTGAAGGACCACTTGGAGCCGGCCTGGTCCTGAAGAGCTGGGAGGATGACGAGGGCCTTGGGCTTTAAGGGATAGATAGATAGAGAGACAGACATATATATTTAAATATAAATATAAACGCAAATATATGTATCATGTAGGTATTTTCATCAGAACTATATACACACATCTATATATATATATATGCCCCCTTAACTCGAAACCCCAAAGCCTCGCTCGAAAACGCTGTAAAAACCCACCAAAAACCCGAAACCCCAACCCCAGATGCCCTGCTCTAGGCCTAAGAGGAACCTAGGAATAAACAGGGTGCCCTTTTTGGGATGAAGGGCTTAGAAGGGAAAGTCCAAGTTGTGAAGCTAAGGAAGCTGGGACAAGACGCCCCAAGCCCGTCAGGACCTATCTCCCTCGGGCTGGGGTTGAATCAATCGCTCACACTCGGACAAGCCAGGCGAGGCATATACTGGCTCCAGGTCTTGCTTGAAGCCCGGGCTTGGGTTTTGGGTTTAGGGTTTTAGGGTTAAGGCTTTTGGACCTAGATTACATCTGGCAGCAAAGCTTGTTTAGGGTTTTTGGGGGGGGGGGGGGGGGGGAAAGGGTTTAGTTTAGGGCTTACGGCCCCTTTTTTGCCCTAAACCCTAAACCCTAAACCCTAAACCCTAAACCCTAAACCCTAAACCCTAAACCTTAAACCCTAAACCCTAAACCCTAAACCCTAAACCCTAAACCCTAAACCCTAAACCCTAAACCCTAAACCCAAGCTCAAGGCCCCCTCTTCTTGAGCTCTTAGCTCCTCTGTCGAAGCTACGCCATCAGGCTTCATCATCTTCCGGCCTCTCTTAAGGGATTAGGGTTTAGGGTTTAGGGTTTGGGGTTTGGGGTTTAGGGTTTGGGGTTTGGGGTTTGGGGTTTAGGGTTTGGGGTTTGGGGTTTAGGGTTTAGGGTTTGGGGTTTAGGGTTTAGGTTTTAGGGCTTGGGGTTTGGGGTTTGGGTTTGCAGACCCCCCCCCCCCCCCCCCCCGGGAGGATTTTATAAAGTAGAAGCCGCAATTTGGGACAATCCTAAAGGGGTATTGCGATAGGAAGCCGCTCGAGGGGTCGACTTTCAATTGAGAACCCTGAAGTGAGCCCTTCTACAGCCCTCAGAAACGGCCAGCCTCAGAAAATTGGGGCCCTAACTATACTTATTCCCTATAGAGACTTAGGGTTTAAGGCTGAGGGTTTTGGGTTAGGGTTTAGGCCGCACAAAACCATCGTCGAATGATTCAGGCGTCACAATTGAACTTGAAGGGCAAGCCGAGGACAACGAAAGCTCGCCTAGATTCTAGGCGAGAGCTCTTTTCAGATCTTTTCCTCACTGGTCGAGATGGAAGTCGCTTTAAGTGACCTTTAAACCCCACAGGCCCTCAACCCCTAAACCCTCTCCTCTCGGGGGATGTCTTCCGGCCTCTCAGCTGCCGCAGCGAAAGGTCTTCCTCCGGCTCCTGCTCGCAGAAGTCCTCTGGGAAAGGGCTCCGACTTGAGGGTTTTGAATTGTTTTCCGATTTGGGGTTTTAAGGTTTTAAAGGGGTCTAAACGGCTTAAAAGGGTTTAGGGCTTTGAAGGGTTTTTGGATTGGGGTTCTCTGGGAAAGGGCTCAGGGTTTGGGGTAAAAAGGGTTTGAAGGGCATTAAGGCTTTAAAGGGTTTAAAGGATTTAGGGGACAGGGAAAGAAGAAGCGCAGCAACAGCAGAGAGAGGGCCAAGAACGATAGCCATCATTCTCCTACCAATGGCATGGCAGCGGTGAAGGACTAGCTTTCGGGAAGAGTGTTTCGCTAGGGCTCGGCTCCTTTTCCGAAGGCAGCAATGTTGTGGGGCTTTTGGGCCCCTAAACCCTAAACCCTAAACCCTAAACCCTAAACCCTAAACCCTAAACCCTAAACCCTAAACCCTAAACCCTAAACCCTAAACCCTAAACTAGGGGGCTTTGGAGACTCAGGCTTGATAGAGACTCCTGCATCGTTAGACAAAGCTCCCCGATCGAATCGACAGTAGTGTGGCATTCGGATACTCAGGCTGAACTAGGGTAAGACTCAGTATCCCTAAACCCCTAAACCCTAAACCCTAAACCCTAAACCCTAAACCCTAAACTCCCCCATTGCAAGTTTGCAGTCCTCAGGAAGCTCGGCATCGTCGATGATGGTGGCGAGCCCCACCTAAGTCGGGTACGGGAAACAAAAGAGGGTTGTTTAGGGTGGTTTAGGGTTTAGGAGTTGAGGGGTCCAGGAGCCGTATATAGGGCAAACCTATCAGTATCAACAAGCACTTTGGCCTTGATCCCCACACCCCACTCTCCTTGCTTGCTGAGCAGAGGTGGTGGAGCAAAGAACTCTTCCAGAATACATCCGAGTCGCAAGCGCCAGGGAGATTGCAGGCAGAACGCGCGGCATCTCCCGACAACAAAGGAGATTCTCGTAACCCCTTTAAACCCGAAACCCCCTTAAAATCCTAAAACCTCAACCCTAAATCCTGTAAACCCTAAATCCTAAACCCTTTCAACCTAAACACTCAGCTGTACAATCCCCAACACCTAAGCCGTCTTCCCAGTTTCTTGAGCCGCCCGCACACGGAGATGGAGGAGTTTGCGTGTTGCAAGGGCCTTAAATAGTTAGAAGAGGGTCTTGGGGGGATATTCTGGTACACTGATGAAGGGACCATTAGGGGAATATTATGAGTAGCTCGTCCGACCCCTATATCACACAAAGAGTGTCCTTTGGGATTTATACAAAAAGGGCGTCTAAATGGGTTCCAGAACCAGGGGGTTCTGGTAAACATTGGTTTGTGTACCCCCAATATACACTCACCAACATCCTGGTTAAGGAAGCCGATACTTCGTGTGACCCCAAGTACTCGAGATATTTCAAGAGTCTCTCAAGATGATTTCGACGATGCTTTGATTAAATCCCAGGAGCGAAATGCCGGCGGACCTCCAAAGCTTCGTAGTCGCTAGATTCGAGGCCAGGGTCGCGGTTGTCAAAGATTATAAGATGCATGCTACGCCTGCTACGCATGTTCACTGAACTGGCATCATCGGCGCTTGTACGCGTTGTTGCTCCGCGGGGGCGGGGGGGGAGAGGCTGAGGGGCTTGACTGAGGGCTTATGGTGAAGGGTGTCAGGGGTGACGGCTTAGGGTTGAGGAGTGCAGTGTTTTTTTTGCGTGGTTGAAACGACCCACCGGATTATTATTTTGGGGTTTAGGCTTTGAGTTTTGAGGTTGGGGGCTCGGGTTAGGGCCTGAAGGGTTCAGGTTACCCTAAACCCTAAACCCTAAACCCTAAACCCTAAACCGCTAACCCCTAACCCCTAAACCCTAAACCCTAAGCCCTTTTCGAAAGAATCATCCCCACGGGCTTGAGATCAAGACGTGCTCGGCAGTGGACTTCGGCCTACGCCAAAAAGCAAACGGCTGTGGAGGAAGCGTGGGCTTCAGGGTTCAGGGTTTAGGGTTCAGGGTTTAGGGTTTAGGGTTCAGGGTTTAGGGTTTTAAAGGGTTTTTTTCCGAACAGAGGGGGTACCCTTCTGGGGTACCTTTTTTTAAGGGGCTTTTTCCAGATGGGGGGATAAAAGGGGTACCCCTCTTTTGGGAAATGTCATATGGGTAGCTTCCTAAATTAGGGGCAGTGTTCTTGGGGTACCCATTATAAAGGCGGCACCCTCTACAAAGGCACCCCCAAAAAGGGACCATAGTTTAGGAAGCTACCCATATGACGATTGGAGTTGCCGGTATGCTTTGAGTTGTGGCACTTCTCCTTCCATACGTAACTTCTGTAGGGTTTACAGGGTACTTCCCTTAGAGACTCTCTTATGAGGGAGCTGTTCACCAAATCTTGGCTTTCGGGATAACGGGTCGACTGTTTTCTTCCAGACTGCGCAGATGCCCCTGCAGCACTGAGCTCACAGAGAGAGAGAGAGAGAGAGAGAGAGACAGAGAGAGAGAGAGAGAGAGAGACAGAGAGAGAGAGAGAGACAGAGAGAGAGAGAGAGAGGGAGAAGGAGAGGGAGAGGGAGAGGGAGTGGGAGAGGGAGAGAGAGAGGGAGAGGGAGTGGGAGAGGGGGAGGGGACGAAGAGCCTGCAACACTAAAGTCTTTCTTTTCTGAGCCCTGCCTAAAAGCATCGTAAACACTTTTCTTTCGGAGCCTTTCTCCGGACTCCAGACTCTGCGAATGCACAGTACGACTTGGCTCACTTCGAGGGGTTTGGGGCTTGTGGGGAGTTTTCTTCTTGGGTTTTAGGTTTTCGGCTTAGGGTTTGGGCAGAGTTCTGGGTGCAGGGCTTGGATGGGGGGGAGGGGGGGGGGTAAGATCGGGCAAGGGTTGGTAAAGGATTTTCAGTGTCAGGGGTCAGGTGGCGGTCCGGTGAGGTGCAAGGTGAACTTGCCAGGAAGGGGGGTTTCAAGGATGTCTGTGGTGAACTAAACCCTCTCAACCTTAACCCAGAAGCCATTGGCGAAACTTTGATCTGGCAAGCACTCGTCCACATGTACAATGGACCTGCTAAAAAAGTATCTTCGAGCAGGGTACAACGTGATGATGAGCGCATGAGGCCTTCACAAGCACTCCGTTTGGTGTGTACCATGGATTTACAATGGCCCCCTTTGCTACACTCATGGAAAACACATGGGAATGTGCAGGCAAGGAGCACCCCTACGGATGCGAGCAAGAAGAATGATTCACGGAAGCGAAGATGCCGTTTTGGCATGAAGCTCCGCATTCTGCGGAGCTAGAAAGCTTGTGAAACGAAGCAATTCGCAGCAAGGTCTGAGAACCCCATCACGAGCGCTGCGCGTGCGTCCCCATCTTCATGCAAGGCAGACAGGATGTAGTCGGGAGCTGAAGTCTCCACTGCAATATCTGCTGCCGTGCATCCGCGAGAATTTCTCAAGTCCGTACGGGCACCAGCTGCAAGCAACATGGCCGTAGCCTCGAAACTGCTGGTGATGACGCTGCACATCAGGGGTGTGGCCTTGTCGTGATGGTAGGCATAAGTACTTAAGGTGGACTGCTTCCAGCGATGCCGCATGCTCAAGCCTGAAAACAAGATGCCTAAAGAGCTGAAGAACGGCGTACTCTGCTGGTGGTCCACATCCGCACCCGCCTCGATCAAGGTTGACACAACCCTCGCCGTGCCACCCTCGCCATGACGCATGGCAGCGTGCAGTGCCAAATCCATATCTTCCCGGGGAGTTCCTTTCAGCAGCTCCCCCATGGCTTGCAAAGATCCTGCAGCACTGGCCATGATGAAAGGCGTGTAGCCGATCATGTTCCTCTCCGTGGGATCACAACTGGCGGCCACCAGAGATTTGATTCCCTCCACGTTATTGGACAGGGCGGCCCAGAGGAGTGCAGTCGCCCCGTAGCCATCTTTTGCATCGACATCGGCCCGGTTTGCAAGGAGCACCTTGATGGCACCGTTGTTTGTCAACGAAGCAGAGATGTGAAGGATCGGGGTGTCTGGCGCGAAGTGGCACATCGGCTCCCCTTTCGTGATCTTGTCGTTCACATCTGCCCGCTGTTCCAGAAGCGTCAGGATCAGCATGGGATTGCCATCGAGCGCCGCATAGCAGACGGGAGTCCAGCCAGCTTCATCTCGCTCGCGAAGAGACTGAAACCCATTCTGGTACATGAAATGGGCTGCTGCAAAGCTTGCAGGATCGAGCAAGTCCGAAACGAAGCCAGGGACCAAAGCATCGTGTGGAGCAATGGGGAGTCCTCTGAGAAGCACACGCTGCAGGTTCGACATGATGCGGTAGCTGTGCTGGTGCCCATGGCTCAGGTAGAACTGCAACTTCTTTTGGATCAAGCCTCTCAAAAGCACTGCAATCTCTTGCCGGTCTGACTCAACGGTGAAGTGCCCCTCTCCCACAGGATATCGAAACCAGGAGAAGTACGCAGCCATCTCCTGGTGTGCTGCGCTGTGGATCTCAATCGGCAGATGCATATCCGCTTTGGCACTGAGTGCACGAGTCGCTCTCTCCAGCCGACACCACGCGCGGCTTTCCCAACTGTTCCTGTTCAGCAGTTCCCTGGTATCTGCGTGCTGGAGGAGTGGGCAAAGGATGACAAAGAACTCACACTTGTCTACATACCACGGGATGCTCGTGATGGCCAGCCTGCGATGGGCGACGTTGTGCCTGGACTGGGGGCATGAGAAGAAATCGTACCACAGAAAAAGCGGCTTGGAAGACAACTCGGCCGCTGAGAGATGATGCGGCTGCCCCATGAAGGTCTGGTCGTACATCTCGCTGGATATGTTCCCCCAGATGGTCGTCGTTCCGGACATCGCGTTCCTGATGGCATCTTGCAGCGCCTTGAACTGCTCTAGGTGGGGGTCTGGGTGGTCGATGCTCGACCACTGATGCGACACAAACATTGCATTTCCCTGGGACCCGTCAAACTGCGCTAGGCAGCCCTCCGCCATCAGCTCCTCATGCGCCTTCAGCTCGGTCATAGCCATCAGGACATCTGCTGGAACTACATACCTGTATCAATAGCTGGGTCTGCGTCGGAAGAAAAGCAGAACTGCAAGACTAAACTCTCTGTTCAAAGAAAGAGAAAACGCTTGCAACATGTTTCGCAAAATTGATGTAGATGCATCGGAAACGAAGGTGTGGTGATTGCATCGTCTTGTGCAGACATGCGCAAGGTCTCTGCGTAGGACTCCAGCTCTGAGGGCATGCGGGGTGCGGCAGCGCAGAAGCATGGAACCATGGCCACAACTAGGCGTAACTAGGCCTTGACTACAGGAAATCTTACTTCTCAATGAACAGACCTGGCAGTAGTGGGCCACGCCCCATCGCGGCCTCAGTGGATTCTTGCTCTTCAGGCTCGGTGTATGGTACTCTGAAAATCCACAACCCTGTAGAGCCAGCTCTGCCTGGGCAAACGAAGGCATGGCATGTACACTGTATGCACCACCACCAGAAGCTGAAAACTCGGAGCAGAGCAGAGCTGTCCGTTGCTCCGCACGTGCTGCCTGTGGCTCGGCCCGGAGCTGCGCCACGACCTCGCTTGAGGTTTTGCGGCGCGGTAGGGTTTGCGGGTTTAGGGCTTAAGGGTTTAGAGGGCTGCAGTGGCAGCTGCTGACGCGGCTAAGGACAAGTAGGAGGTAGAGGAGGAGGAATTGTAGCAGCCGGTGCCGTAATTTCAACTCTAGTGGTGGTAATCATCGGCCTCCTCCTCCTCCTCTTCCTCCTCCTCCTCCTACTACTTCTGCTACGACGACGACTGAATTGCCAAGATGCATCCACATTGCTCTGCTCCAAGAAGTGCAGTCGTGCGAGCCTCGGCGTTAACGTGTAAATCCAGGGCTTCGGGAGTCCGGGATTGCTTAGGGTGTCAGGACTTCGGGCTTCGGGCCTCAGTTCCTCCAAAACCCAAACCACAAATTATAAACCCTGAACCCTAAGCCCCTGCTTGGGGTCTCAATCAAGCTTTCGGATTTAAATTCATGCGGTTCAGGGTCATTCAGGGTCTCTTAAATCTGAAACGTTTGTTGGCGGCGGCGGTCAACTACACGAGGGCGACAAGTCTTTCCAGACAGCTCCTGGGATTATCGCAATGTCAAAACCCTCTCATTCTCTTTGGAGCTGGAGACCACTGAGATGCCAAGCGCTTCGGCGAGCATCATCCCCTGTGACTGTTCCTGCCACTGCTGCTTCCGGGGTCTACGAGTCTAGGTCGTCTACACTGGGGAGTATACATGTCGCAGTGCTCGAGGTTCAAGCATGTCGTGCACCGCATGCAGTTCGAAGTTGTAGAAGCATTGCAAGGCTTCAGGGCCAAAACTATTTTACAACGCGCTTGCGGCTGGGCATGGCGTACTTAGCATACTTAGGACTTGCCAGTTTTTGGCTGTCCAGGACTCCTGGCATCTTCGAAGCCCACCAATGCTCGACTCAAGGACAGGCCTTCAAGCCGACCCAGGTGCGACGACGATGCTTCTGCAACAAGCGAGTTTTGGACGTGGCAATGTGATCTTGCAGAACAAAAGGCACACTGCTGCGAGCTGAAGAATGACACAAGCCATAAAGCCTGCCAACCAAATGGGCGAATATTTCTCGATGACGACGAAGAAGATGCCGCCAGTAGCCATCATAAAACAATCCGAAATCCACAGGGCAGTCCCGGTGAGAACTGATCCTAGCAGCAGCTGCAAGATCCCACGCTCCGCTGCACATCGAGTGACAAGTTGATTGCACCGCAGCGCCAATGGAACATTGGTTGCCAAAAACAATGGGACCAAAAGGAAGTTCATCACAGCATCTGAGACCATGTAAGCAGAAACTGAAGTGAATCCCATGTTCGAGGCAGCTACTCGGCAATCTCGATGACCGTCGCACCCTAAGACAGTTACAAACGAAAGGAACATGAAAGGCAAGATGGCAACCATGCACAACTTGAAAGGCATCTCATTCTCTTGGCCCATGGCAGTGACCACAGAATCACGCAGCGTAGCTCTCACATAGGCGTTGAACTCACCAATGACCTCTGCTCTCGTGGGGTAGCTCGTGATGTGACGGATGTCACGCATGGTCTGCACCAGAGGAACGGCTGCATCCTGCATCTCATCCTCGCTAGGTTGCTGGATGCTCCTCCAAGGATGCCACAAGCTCATCTCATCCATCAAAGGCGGTGGTCGAGACTCCTCGGCATCCAAAGCGACGCTCAGGGGGGGGTCCAAAGCCTCATCAAAGAGATCTGATATATGTTCCTCAATGATTTGACGGTCACTTTCCAGGGTGCATCTGGCATTCTTCAAATCGAACCTTTGCATCTCATCCAGCATCCATCTGTGGCGTCTGAGCTTCTCCAAGCAAAACCATGAGAAGGGGACTCCAGAACACACATACATGTATAGAGGTAAAGACTCCAATTCAAAGAGAGACATGAAAAGAGCTCTTCTTGAGGCAGTTTCGAAAGGCGGAGTTTTGTATCCCATCACCATGCAGGAAAGCACGAAACCGATTCCAAACCAAGACAACGTCCACAGTGGCTTCCACATTGGCACCAGTACCATCGCATGTTCTGGTCCAGCTTTAGCACGAACAGCTAATTCATAGTTGCACCACAACCTGGACAGGCGCAAAACAGACAAACAAGTCATGACTATACAGACTATACAGTGGCTTGTTACTACACGCAGCCAAAGCTTTTGTTTTGCAAGCTCCCCCGCCTTTGGCAGTACGTTTCATCCCAAAGCACCAACATCTGAGCTGACTGAGCCACAAAGGCTGGTACAGCTTGAAGCGTCTGAGCTTTCACTGAAGGCTGATCTTGCTCCACGCAAACTTGATCAAACCAAATGCACGTCTTGGAAAAGACGTGCCCGAAGAGATACACGATGAGAAATGTAGCCATCGGGACGTAGAACAACCACACAAACAAAACGTCTTCAGGCTGTGGAATGAAGCGTTGGGCAGCGTCCCCGGCTTGCAGTAGGAAGAGGATGAAGGTAGCTGACAAGGCAGCAATGACCACAGACGAAGCAATGGCCAAGTCAAGGTTCAGATGGTGACAAAGTGCCAGGGCTTTCATCCAGCTGGCACAGGACCAAGAATGGCTGACGAAGATGTCAGCCTTCGCAACCTTCCGCAAGGAATTGACGGGCAGGCATCGCGAGCAGTTCAGAAGGCTTGATGTGACATCAAGGGCAGATGCTGCTCGAAATAGCCCGTGCTGGTCGGCCAAGGCAGCTTGTGCCTGAATTGAACGCATGGCCCTGCGCTCGGCTTACGGCTGCCGCGCGTCGAAAAAGACCCTTTGGGCCAGAGCCAAGTAGACTGCGGTCGCCTGGTCTCTCTCTCTCTCTCTCTCTCTCTGTGGTCAAATGGACTGTCTCCTTCCAGCTTCGGTCACAGTCCTCGCGCGGTGTGACGAGATCCGTCACGATGGACTCCAGGTTCTCCTGTGTCACATGCCCCGCGAGGTTTCGACCCCGAGCTTCGTGACGGCAAATGCACTGAGAGCCTGGGACCTGAACCCTGAATGGCTACTTTTGATGTCCAACAAACCATTCGACTCATGACGATGACAACAGCACGCAAAAGCCCTTCTGTGATGCCCTTGCACCCCTGGCAGCAAGGTTTGGAATCTCTACTGGAACAAGGCACCAAAGTGCCCGGAATCTCGGTTTAGGGTCTAGGGTTTAGGGTTAGGGTTCCAGGGCTTAGGGTTCTGAAGCCTTCTGACCTCTCCCACATCGCTCCTTGGCCTTTTTGGCGATCGATCAGGTCCTTGTCGGCCTGCTCGAAGGGCGGCCTCACCCGCTCGGGCTGAAGCATCCCCCTTCCCCCCCCCCCCCCCCCACCCCCACCCCCAAACCCAAAACCTCACAAAAATCCGGAAACCCTACACCCCAAAACCTGCAAACCGTTTTTAACCCTTGAAAACCCTTGGGGCCTAGCACCCAAAAAACCTTGAAAACCCCAAGCCCGAAAACCCTAAACCCCCAAAACCCGAAACCCCGAAACCCTGAAACCCTCAAACCTAGAACTAAACAACTAAACCCCTGCGGAGGGCATAACAGGAGGCCAGAGGGGACACCACTCTCGCACTGACAGCTCCTCCTCCTTCCAGTCTTCTTTTCAACTTTACATATACCGTATACCATATAAAATCATATATGTATCATATGTCTATATATGTATATATATATATATATAAAGAATGCTTCGAGCCGTTAAAGAAGAACACGACTCGTTATTCCTGAACCCCTGCAATGCTCCCCCCCTTAGGACCATTGAAGGGGAAAAAAGTACCATAATAGGGAACTCTAAGAAGCCACAGCACTACTTAAAAAGGCCCCTTATTGTCGAACCTCGCGTTTTGCAAGGGACGCTCGAGCCTGGCAAACAACGACAGAAAGGTCCTGTGGTTCTCAAGGAGGCTTAGATATGCCTTGGGCTCTGGAGGACTATTTATCTATTTTGCTGTGAATTTTGTGGTATAGAACGATGAAGGAATATATCTTCATCTATCATGTGCTGTGGAAAGAGCGACATACAATTCTTCCAAGATTTTACTGGACTTTGCCGGCTGATGGACACCAGCTGCGATGGCGCAAAGGACCAGCGGCTGCCTTTCTCGAAAGCCCTAACCTACCCCCCCCCCCCCCCCCCCACGCCCTCGCAACAAGCAGCAAAAAAAAAACGCGATAAGAAACCACAAAGCGTAAACTCCCAAACCCCTAAAGTCAGAAAGCCCATGCCTCGACCCTACCTGCGCTTCAAGGCCCTTCGGGCCGCGGGGTTTATAGACAGTCTCCTCAAGACACTCAATAGGGGCTGTCACTACTACTGAACTCCAAGCATGCCCTACACCCTAGCCCTAGCACCCGAAATCATAAACTTGGGCCCCAAACCACCACCCTATTCCCAACCAAGCACCAAAAAGTATAATGGTCAGATGCAGGTTTTTTGGTATACAGTATAGTGTAGCCATACAGGAACCCACAGGAAGAGTTATACTGAATATTCAGCCTATCGCCGTACTTAAAGCCTAAAGCCTAGATTTAACCCTAAAGCACAAATCCTAGACCCTAAACCCTAATTAAATCCTACATCCTAACCCTACCAGCGCAAAGGGCACCTCTTAGCCAAACACTCCTCCGTCAAACTCGGGCGCAAGCCCTGCCCTCCCGAAGAACTTTTTCCATGGCAGGTTTTGGTTTCGGGCTAGACTTTGAGCGTCGAAGAGGTGAGACAGTGAGA